TCGTGAAATTATAAATCACGACAACGGCAGTGTTCCCTCCAGTGCATACGATAATGCAGAATTTTTGTACTCAAACATTGTCATCTGATTACTATCTGTAATACTATCCGCATACGTTGTCCTTCCAATTGGCGACGGTTTCACGGGCCCTGCTTATTCATTCCACCTAGTATATGCACTACACATGAGAGGGAGATGTCGGGCAACGGAGCCTACAGGAAATCGTCCTTCATACCGGTCTCCACCGCTTTGAAGCCGAGGTCTCCCCTGCCCGTCCTTTCTCATCGTAGGATACAGTGACTACGTCGGTACGAACAATCCTTCCATCCTCAGGCTGGCTAGTCTGACTGCCAATAGACGTAGCTGTTTGAGCTCGCGATCTGCCTCCTGTAGACATGATATTCTCTTGACTGTCACCTTCAATGATCGTGAATCCGAGATCATCCTTGGGCTTTGGTTTCGCTTTGCGTTGGCCCAACTCGTATTCGTAGTTTCCATACACGCGTGAGGGCCGATAGTTACTCGGTGCTGATCCGGTGTTGTTATCGGAGGATTTTGCCGTTGGTCTCGATGCTCTTGCGGAGGAGAAGGGATTGCGTCTGAGGATCAGCTCTAGGAGCGGATGCAAGACAGGGATGGAGCTTGCAATTATGATGGTGCTGCCTTCGATCCTGTAAACTCTAGTCAGAAGGGTTTGATCACCGCGACGGCTGCGACTTTGCACAGCCGAGACGCCGACTGCAACTTACACGGTCCAAACTACTAAGTCAGGTGTCTCATCTATGCGCAAGAAGAGACTTCAGTTAGTAAGGTGGTACTCTGATCGTCTGAATGGTGGATCAAGGTCTTACAAGAGTAATCCTCACTCGCGAGCAACGGAAGGCGTGTCGTCTTATAGATAGCGACAATGCCTGAACTGTTGCGGAATCTCGTCAATAACAAGTCAAGAGCAAAAGATAAACGGCTAAGGCTGCTTACATTGCGCCAATGCCAAGAGCACAGGATAGTGCAACCTTTTTCTTGATTGGCATCTGAAGGCGGTATAGAACGATGGATGGGTATACAGCTAGGTAGACATCAACGAATGCCGAAAATGCTGTAGCTCTGGTCAGTTTAAGATCGATATCTTAATCTCTTGCGACTTACTGCCTGCATAAATCGAGAAATTGATTAGAATGTCTGGACTAAAACAGGTCCCCTCGATAGAGAAGTCCCACAATGAGCTTGCTGGTGTGCATCGCCCTATCAGGAGCCCGACTGTCACAAAGAGTGTCAACTGGCACCATATTGCCATCCACCACAGAAACCACTTGTGGTATACGCCAGGGTTCATTAGTCGCGTCAAAAGCGACACTACAGCCAGCTTAGGCAGGCCGAAAGACATGATGCCAGGGCATTGGGCAGCAGTCGTCCACAGCATACCATCTTGTTGTTGCTCCAAGGTGAGCAGCTCGAGGTGTTTGCCAATACCGGAGTATACTGCAAGTGTCGAGAGCGAAGTGGAAATGTAGCCACACACCTGCTATTGTCAGGGTTCGTCCCAAAGGGCGGTGTGAAGAATTGTAAAATATACCAGCCCTGCAATAACAAAATAGTCATCGCTATGAAATTTTCTCATGATCTTCCACCTGACCACCACTCTGCCAAGGACAAATATTGTGCTCAGAGCGGTGAAGATCCAGCAAACTGTAATGATACCCGGGCCTTTGTCCTGGGCCTTCCAAGCCTGGGAACCCTTTTTTGGACTCGACATGGTGGGTTTAATTCAAGCAGTGTGCGGTGAAGACGTCGGCGCATAACACTAAACAAAGAATTTTGGGAAACGGGCACGAACCATGGAACACAAGTGCGTCTCAAATATTTGGAAAGCAGACTGCGGGATTGCCTGAGTTTATCACAAGGAACTTCCTTCGGTGGCGTATCTAGAGCCTGGCTGCGAGAACAGCTCCTATTCCCCCTTGCAATGGATTGATTCACTTTCCGCGTCACATCGCAAACATGAAAGAACTTGAAGGATCCCCTAGAAGCCTGTTCAAGATTTAAGAGGAAGGGACGGATGTTGATTGCCGCCGTTGTCTTGCAAGGGACGACTTAAGGGTATTTGAATTGTGAGTGAAAGGTGATGGTGTTGGAGGATTACCGACGATTGGAGAGAATATCCAGCCCCTGCCTGATATGCATTCGGTTTTCATGCTTCACATTTATCTTCATTGTTGAATGAAGTCTACTAGTCCACATTTGGCCGAGTCATCAGCCCAAGCAAACCAGCACCATGCCAAACAGCCTGAAGAGATCAAGTGCATGCCATAAAGGATTTTGGCAGGGATAGATGGCAAACATGATGACTAGGCAAATCAACCCGTTTAAATGAACAAACATACCAAAATTTAACTCGGCACGTAAAAAAATCCCCAACCCCTGTACTTACTCGCTAACCGAGCATCGGGGTGAGTTCTGGTGGCATTCTGATCCTGGATAGGCAGAGGTTAAGGCAGAAGTGTTGGTAAGGGCTTCTGAGTGAAAAAGCTCATATCTTTGCCGACTAGACGAAGTATGGTAATCTACGATTCACAGTAGTAGTTTTGAGATCGTAGATTTATCTCGAAAAGCCCTGGATTTCAACTTAAGGATATCCTCAGGACGTCCAGGAGGCTCAACGCTACATGAGAGGCGTTCCCGTACGCAGCTGGCTCGGAGAAAACATCCCATGCAGAAGCCTTGGAAATGGAATGAATAGAAAAACAGAAGCCGAATGTGTTGGAAATTGCAGCGAATTGAAGTTCTTCGTCTTATGGACATAAATAAGGAAATGAGCAAGTAGAAGCAGGAACAGATTTCTGAGCACCTTGTTATCGAAGAAAGTAAATTCTTGTGAGTCACAAGTACGAGAATACAGTTTTGATAAAACAGTATAGTGCCCACCCAGAACTTGAATTGAGATGCTTTCTTAAGCAGGAACAGATGAACGATCCGAAAGTGAGCCAAGTCGCATCCGGGACTGCAGAAACAAATCCGCCCGTCAATGAAATTTGGCGACGGGACTCAGCATCTCGACCCGGATTGGCATCATGCGGAACATGGACTGTCTGGACCCTGACTGATTTAAAGCTGCAGCCAAGATTACTCAAAGCCAACCGAATGCCCACCCCTGAGCCGATCCCTTTGTTCTCTCTACCAATATGCAGTGGTATGGAAGCCGTTGAACTGCCACCAACGCATGTTGGTGTCTGTCATTACGAGTGTTGGAGGAAACTGCATCGCTGCTGGGCATGTTGGCCTGAACAAATGTTATACGTTTGCCAGCTCAAAGACCACGAGGCATGTGCCCATCTTACCCGGGCCAACGGGATGCGTTCTCCCTCAGAGTATTACGTAGGATACCTATGCAGGCACAGCGAACTTTTTCTCAAGTCAATGAAGCTTGTTCATACCAGCTGTAGTACAAAAACAAGTCTATCTGCGGGGTTTCGCTCCTCCAAGATCTTCATTGGGCCCATCCTCGAGGCTGGTCCTTAAAAGCGTACAGGATGAAAACGGCACTATCCTGACCATTTTGATATGTGATATCTTATATTTTTCTGCATTGATAAGATGAGGGGAATGGATGAGTTCGCAAGTCAATCAGCGTGCGTGTGGCCCACCTCCAAAGTTTTATGGCATGGTTGCGCTGATCTCTTATATCCACGCAAGAATTGAGGTACGTGCCATCGCCAATTGACTTCACATGTCACGAGACTGGAATGAGTTCATGAGCGCGCAAAAGTTGCAGGACCAAGTCTGATCGGTTCAATTTTGTTCCATGACATGTTGAAATGATGTGAACGGAGGTTCGTCCTCAGCTTCGTCGCAGTCTGTCAACATCGCCATTTAAGAGGTTTATCCTACGGATTCGAGGATTTCGAGGATGAGGTTCAACATATCGAAACTTTCAATCTCCCATCTCGTTGAAATATATCGACATTATCAAGCGTGACTACTTTATCCACGTCCTAATTGGTGCTGGGTGGAAGGTTTCTCACGTCGTGGAAAACGATAATAAGTAGTGATGGAAACACGTCGCGAGAATTTCACCGAGGATGTTGAGGCCAGTAGAAAACATTCAGATGCCGCGACTTAATGAACCCCCAGGAATATAGGAATATTCTCTCACTTCAGCTAGCATCACTCATTCAATCACCATGAACCTAGTCTTCTAGATTCGACTAAGGACCAAGAAGGCTTCTTAACTAACTTGCGATAAGTCGCTCGATCGTCGTCAGTTCATGAGTCATCAGAAATCTCCCAAGATATTGATATGTCACATTCTTATGCTCACCAGACTGGTAAAAGTAGACATTTTCATGAGTCGTTAGTGAGTGCCAAGATCACCAGCTTTCGGACTTAAGAAGAGAAACGCCGCAGGCAAAAAGAGGACGCTGAACCCCACTTTTGCTGAAGAATCAATCCATCGGCGACCCCTCAGATCATGCTGTGTTTATGCCGGAATCCACCTCGAAGATGCCGCACACAAGGAGTAGAACAGGCTGCCTCACATGCCGGTAAGATCCTTTGTCGCACAATGATGGAGTGTTGATACTAAGTTTAATGGTAGAGACGAGGGCTACAAATGCGATGAAGCAAAGCCTCATTGCGGCCGCTGCATCCGCTTGGGCAAGACATGCAAGGGGTACGGGCTGAGAGTGAGATGGAAGTCAGCCGATGACCCCAAAGACGGCGGAAGAGTTACAAAGAAGAAAGGTCAAAAGCCCAAGGGCAATATTGCACCTCGGAAGGTCACGCCGCCTTCAAGCGATGAGCAGCCCGCGACGCCTAGCTCCAGCTCGATGACGGCGACTTCAGCGTCGAGCCCTGACAGTCTCATCCGTAATCCGTCCTATTTATCGCCAGATATCTCGCCAATGATCCGCTACTTATTACATCATTGGAACGGATCATTGGCGAGTGTCATATCCATGGCATCCGGCATACAGAACCCATTCCTCGTTCACCTCACACCCATGATGCTCCGCTCCACAGCCCTGCTCTTCTCAATCTCCTCCATGGCGGCGGGCCACCTTGCGATCCTCCGGAATGACAGTCACCTCAAAACGCTATCATCACGCCACATGCTCGTCGCCTTGTCATCGCTACGAGAATCGATCCAGACCGAGAATCCCGAGCTCTCGTTGGCCACCATACTGATGCTCCAAATCTCGGACCGGCTCTTCAACACGGACAGCCAAATCGATCATTTGGCTGGAGCCAAAGCCGTCATCATGCACTCAGGGGGGCCAATGAACTGGAACACTTCGAGCGCGCAATTCCTTCTCAGCCTCTGCTTCTACCACGACGTCATGTCTTCCATTTCCCGCGCGTCTAGGCCGCTGTTAAGCATGACGAATGTGGCGCCTCTCGAAGGTCTGCACAGTCTGGCCAAGCTTACTTCCGTTGTGTCCATCGTCAGTACCGTCAGCAAGATGCAAGGGCAATCCGGCGAAGCGCACCAGAAAAGGGGCTACGGCATCAAGAGAAGCCTGGAGGAAGTCAGCTTCTCCGAGGAAGGGGATCCAGACATTGAGCACACGATCCAAGCCTACAAACACGCGGCCATCGTCTACCTTTATCGAGTATGGGACGACGGAGAATCGTCGACGAAGCCACATTACGCGGAGCAGTGCATCTACCACCTCTTGAAGGTACCCATTACATCATCCTTCGTCTCTGCCCATGCGTGGCCTCTATGGACTGGTGGCTGCGAGTCCGTCGAAATTCGCCTACGTCAACTGGTTCTTGTCAGGATCAGGGAGATGTACCAACATCGTCAACTCCCTTCCCTTCAACGAGTGCAAGAAGACATGGAAGAAGTGTGGCAGGTGAAGGATGCACAGAGACTACAATTTGGAACGGAAAATGTTGATTGCTGTAAGATGATTTTGCATACGCGTCATCGAGAGGCAGACTTGGTCTAGTATTGCCTATGGCTGATTATGTGCCTCTATAACCCCCTGGCTTTTAAACCCACGCCCCGTACCTTCACTTTCTCTTGGGTGTTGGCGAAGACTGCCCAAGCCCAAGACATGAAGCAATCTTGAAAAAGACATCCGTATTGTCGTACACTCCGGCAAACGTCTCTTGACAGGGCCCCATAGCAAAGACAGGAACATCAGTCAGGGAATGGACACCAGATGAAGACGACGTAGGGATCGTACCCGGAACAAAGAACCCATCCTCGCCATCCTCCGGGTTCGCAACGTACCCATCCTCACCGCTCACCGCCACCCGACGGGGGCTCTCGTGAAGCTGGTAATTCTCATTCCGATCGGGGTTGGCACCGAACGCAGGCGCGATAGCGTACCGCGGGCTCCAGTTGGACGGGAAGTTGGGACCGGTGCCGTACTCGATGCCGTCCGGCCGGGAGACGGTATACTGCGACAGGCCGGACCGCTCATAGATGCCAATGGCGTCGCGCTTCTTGCGGTCCGTATCCTGCGCGGCGAGGTACTTTGTATCAGCGACGCCAAAGACGTCGAAGCCGTGGCCGTGGTCGGCCGTCACCACGATGAGCGTGTTCTCGAGCTCCCCAGCCTCACTGAGCTTCTTTACCGTGGCGCGAATGGTGTCGTCGAATTCGAGGAGGTCGCCGAGGGCTCTGTCGTAGTCTAGCGCGTGCATCTGCTTGTCGATCGAGGCGCCCTCGGACATGAGGAAGAAGCCTGTGTCGTTGCTGCGCTCGAGGAGGATGTCGACGGCTTTGAGGGTCATGTCCTTCAGGCCCGGGAGATCGAGCGGCGCGGAGCCGTCTCCGGAGGGATGGGTCTTGAGTGCGGCGATGTTGTCTTTGAAGATCTTCCTGTCGAGCCAGACGGGAAGATGGGAGGTGGAAAAGACACCCAAAGCCGGAGAGTCGACGGGTGCTTCGCGAAGGGATGTGGCGTTCCAGCTTACAGAGTAGCCTTGCTTGCGGAATTCTTCGTAGTAATCCTTGCCCTCATACGAGGTTGCTCCGGGGAGGAAAGTTGAGGCACCACCGCCAAAGTAGACGTCGGGACCGGGGTGGCTGCTCCAAGAGTAGTTCGTCATGCCATTGAGGGCTTGATCAATGAGAGAGCCGGCGTTGGATCTGGATCTACTGTGGCCTGTCAATGCTGCTGGAGTGGCATCATCAAGGGCAGCTGTGGTCACGGCACCCCAGGCGGATCCCTACAGATATGTTAGCCACCAAAAAGAGGTTCTCGTCGAGGGGGACTCACCCAGACGCGGACTACCATCTCCACGATCGTCTCGACCTTGGGGTCGTCAAAGTCGTCGGCCGATGAATCGGAGTACACACTACGAGACAATTAGAATTCGATTTCTTTCGCAAACCAGTCGGTTATGAACGCACCCCATGGAATCCGACGTGCCCTTATGACCAGAGTATAGCGCGGACGCAGAGTTGGCGCTGTCCGTGATGAAGCTGTCAACGGAGTGTGTCTGCTCTTATATCAGCACTTCCAACTCGATTGATCTCGCCTTGCCTCCGCCAGAGAGAACCCACCATCTGATGCCCCAAGATGGGGAACTGATCCATCTGCATCCTCGACTGATACTTTCCATTCACGCTCTTGTGACCCAACAGGCGTGCAGCCGTAATCATATTCGTCGTCATACCATCCCCAATGAACAAAATCACATTCTTGGCCTTCTTCTCCTCAGCAAGAGGGCGAACCAGCCACTCCGCCAGCGTCTTCTTCGTGCCGTTGTAGTATTTCAACTCGACTGTGTAGTTCCCCGGCTCATACAGCGACAAGTGACGGTACGCCTTGGACGCCACATTCACCACAGACTTATTCCCCGCATCCTGCGCAAACAGATCCTCATACCACGAGAACGTCCACGTCTCCAGCTCAGGCTCCTCCTCGATCCCAAAGAAATCGGTCACGGACTTGCCCTCGGGCTCACTGTTGCTCGCAATCGTGAGGGTGAACTCTGGGTCCGGCACGCCGTCGTTGAACGCCTCGGTCCCATTTACCGGCGCGTGAATCTCGACGCGGATGTCAAAGTTCTGGCCGGGGAGGAAGTGGGCTTGGTCGGGCGGGAAAACGCATCCGAGGTCTGGGCAGCCGCCGAGGCGTTGGAAGGTTTGGGCGAGGGTGGCCAAGGGCGCGGACGCCAAGAGGACCAGGGCGAGGGCGGACATCGTGGGATGCTACGGCTCGGGAAGGGGGGAGGAGCACAGTCCACGAGGTAAAGGGCCAAGATCGGATGAAACTTGGGGTGAACGTTGGATTGGCAATGGAGGCCCGTATGTACGGAGGGGCGGGAGTGTGGTGATATACACGAGCCAAGACATCGTGAGCGGTCGATTTAACCCTCCTCATTCACGATCACGCGTCTAACTCAACTTAGAAGGTCCAAGTAATTGCCGCGCAAAGTTCTTCCCACATTCCCGTGGCCGGCATGGATGAACTTTGGGGGAAGGAAGCGCGTCGGCGGGGTCCCGGCTCACTCATCACGTTCACAGCAGTAGGGAAACCGAACTTATCACGACTCTTGGGACCGGCGTTGTCCGAAGAAGTACAGACCGACCTCCCACGAGGTGGGGGGAAGCCAAGCATCGATGGCAGAGGAGTTCTTGGCTTGCAGCTTCACTGCTGCGTACCCCGCTTCATTGACGGTGTTCCCCTCACAGGCTAACGATAAGCACGCGACCTATTTCCTGGTCTGTCTAGGATATTTGTGAGGAATCTGAGGCGATGTTGTAGAGTTGGCTGGTGTTGTTGGTGGTGAGTGGAGGTTGAACGCGCGGGGAATATGATCTTTCGTTGCGCCGGGCTTGAAGGCTCCCGGGATGGACTACCGCAGGTGACATCGTTGGAGAACCCAATACGGTGCAATCCTTTTACGTAGGATGACATACTTGGAAATACGTAACAATTTGATAAATTTGCTTAGAATAATAAGATATAGCGAAGTAAGAAGCGAGAAGCGACGCATTACTTTCAATGCTGTGCGCCAAAAGGCCCATAACACACATCGAAACTCAATTCCTGGCGTCCCACGTGCTCATAGTTTTGAGGAGAGTCAACAGTCTGACAGGTTGATGGCTGGGAAAGTTCACACAACTGAAAACCTTGAAGTGCCAAGAAGGGGTCCTTCGCAGCGATAACGCTATGCCCTGATTCATGCTCAACGTCCGCAATGCCAAGAAGAGCGCCGTTTGCCAAGCCTCTGATATCTGGTGTCCTGCAAATAAACAAATAGCGCAAGCAAAAGTAATCGTTTCCTTCGTATGATACGTAATTCGTGACTTACCGAGGGAGCGGAACGTCCGGACTCAAGAGAGATAAGTGGAGAATGTGATAGGACGGAAGGCCGGTCAATGACAGGACCTCAGTGATGAACGGTTCACTTGAACGCTGCAAATGTGTCGTCCGTGACAAACCCAACCATGGTCTTCAACCCGATCCTCGCGGCGTCCAAGCAATCTCTCGCCAATGTCTCTTCGCCTAGTGCCGAATACGCCTCAGCCGACCATTTCAACGCCCGTATGACCTCAAACGTCGTCACCGCCTGGGTGTCCTTATATATCCACAGCCTTCCCTCCCTTACCGGCTCGACGAAGCCAAAGTTGCGGAACACCTCGCAACCCCACTTGACAACCTTGTTCCACTGTTTCCGGGTGTGCCATACTTCCACAAGCCACATCGTCGGCCAGACGAGCATCAAGCGCGGTAACAAAAGGTCGTCGTAGACCTCCTTCTCGTGGAGACAAGAGAGCTTGTTTGCCAGCTTCTCGACTTGTCGAATCGTCGCGTCGGGGTAGAACTTGGTTGGACGCTTTGTCCTGATCAGGGCCTCGATTTCGGCTAGAACAGCATTCCTCTTCTGATGCTGCTCTGTCGAAGATCCGGATTCACCAGCGCAAAGGGCGCAGTTGCAGACAAACCCCCAGCTGCGGCGGAATTGCGGCATGCGAAGGAGGTACGCCGCCTTGGGAGGCAGGTAAATGTGCGTAATCTCCGTGCCGGCAGGAATATCCACTGTAGCCGTGGCGATGAGCATATCTCCTATGAAGGACCTGTTGGCATTGGGAAGACAGGCGTGGTTCGCATACGCCGAATACACCCAGAGCCCGCGCGACATGCCCTGCTTCCACATGTTCCATTCCGGATTCGCAGCCTGCGCCGACACCTGGGCGCCGCTGAAGCAGTTCTTGCGGCGGATGGACTCGAGAAGAAAGACGTCGATGACTGGCCTGCCGTCGACGAGTGTGCCTTCTTGGCCGGTTCGCTTGTAGGACCCTCCGTGAAGGTCGAGAACCTTGTTGTGAATTGTTGGGTTATCTGCGCACAGCTCCACAAGCTGGGCGTATGCTGCAGCTGCGTTGTGCTCTGGATTGAATTCGTTGGGAACGCTGGTTGCTCTTTCTGCGAATATCATCTCCCCTGCCTTGATGTCTTCTGTGGCGAACAGCCCGCGTCCGTGATGTGGTGAGTCTCTGACTTGAGTGCGTGACAAGAAGCTTGCTCTATCGATGTGAATATTCTTCGAAGTGACGCTAGCTATCATGTCTACTAGATCGTAGTTGCCTTTTTCTTCCTCGAGCCTTGCTACACATCTTTCGTATTCCTTGCGGATGTTGGCTACCTCGGGTTTGAGTGCTAGAGCCGATTCGAAGTGTTGCTTGCTAGCCTGGAAGTCCGTGAATTCATAAGCTGCCCTACCCGCAACGAAATGGGATTTCCAGTCTGAAGATGCACATCTCGAGGAAAGGGCATCTGATAGCGCCCTGTCAAAGCACTTGAGGGTAAGATTGATGCCTGCTCGTTTCAACAGAACATCAACCCGGACGGAGGTGTCCTCTTCTGGTAGAAATTCCAGAGCTCTGGTGTAACTATAAAAGCGTGTAAGCATCGGGCCAGTTGAAGGAAAGGTTGGTAGATCTCACTTCGCTACTGCCAAAGGAAGCTTCTTGGAGATGAAGGCTCGATCCCCAGCAGCCTTCCAGCCCGCCGCCGTATCGAACTCTGGCACCGCCCTGAAGATGTCTGGGATCAGCGCATCATCTGGACCTTGTCGAAGAAGCACAATGTCCGAGGGATGGTCAATGCAAAGCATGAAATCGTTATCGCCGCTGAAGCGATAGTATGGTTCTTTTACGAGGACGACCGAGCCTTTCGGGATGGACTGCAGAATTGTAGAGTTGCCCTGATTGTAAAGAGCCATCTTATCAACACTGCCATACTGATCTTCAACGATGGTAATCGTCCCGGCACCTGGGTATGGTTGAACGATTGTCCTGAGGACGAGGTACTTGTCCTCGTGATGATTTTCCACCAAAAGCTCGTCAAGGCGCATCTAGACATGGTTAAGCGGTTGCGATTCTGGGAGGAATTGTCTCATGCCTGGGAGGACTACGTACCGGCGAGAGATCCACTACAGACTTGACAGACGGCGGGTATGACAATGCCAATACGACTTTCTTCACCATTCGTGGCCCATTCTGCTGCCCAGACTTTTGTTGCTGCTCAACATAGTCATTGTGCGTGCTGACGAGTACTTCTCTCGATACGCGCGTTGGAGGGGGCTTTCCAGAGTGAGCCTCTGCTTTCTGCAAGAATTCTAGAGAGACGTCGGGATCAACGTCGGTGAGAATCTCTTCGACGCCAATTTGGAGGTTAAAATCGATGGTGTTGAGTGTTGGGTGTGTGGGATTCGATGCATCGGTATCGCCATCTGCGTCATTGTGTCTTTGTTCTAAACCCATGGTGGCTATAGACAAATTTAAGAATATTGACTTTCCGTCAGTCAAGCTAGGTGGAATTTCCTTTCGAGGACCTTGGTATCTCTTGGAGAATTGTAGGCTTGTGGGTGTGGGAAAGAATATGCCGGACTAGAGTCTAAGAAGAGCAAAATTGGTATGTAGGGGGCCCTCATCAGCTCTGCAAGTAGACAGAATCAACTTTAAATGTCGTACTAGGAACATAGAGCTTGTGATATATACTCACAAGTCGCCTTCCGAGTTAGGTGTCATCTTGATGGGCTCCGTTGATCTCTGTTACCAATTGAGCCCGGTAATGCGGGAACAAGCACGATGTGTCTTGGACACCGACCCCGATTTAGGCAAAGACATATTATGGCACCAATGACAAGCGGCCCCATAACATCTGGACTCGGGTTGCCGTGCCGGATGGAGGTGGTTTTCGGAGGGTGTGAGTCCGAATTTTCCCCAACATCATGGGTAGGACTGGATAAGCGAGCCTAGATCTCGTGTAGAACCGCCTTAACCCCATTGGCCGTCAACAAGGTAAGCCAGGCCATTCATTGGCAATGGTCTATTGGAAAGAGCCTCAATGAAGACGACAACTGTGCCGTGGTTGTGCAGTGAACCGTGAACGGGGGACGGATTAGTCTCAGGGTAAAGTCTCTCATTCACTCTCTAAACCTATTAATTGAGGAAGCGTAGACACAAACGACGTGATCAGCTAATACAGGCAACAGTTGCAATATTCCAGCCGCCATAATTCTCGACTCCATACTTCCATATCGTCTCAACGCAAGTCTCGTCAAAGTACTTTCATGGCCCACAACAGACCCGTGTCCACATGTTCGCATATCGTACGCCCACTGTTTGAAGAATATTCTTAAAGTATCGCACCTTCTATCAAAGGGAAAGCATCCGACGAGGATCGAGAATCTGTCCAACGTTCTTCTGCACTGCCTTAAAGCGCATATAGCCGCAGGACTCGCTCTCGAGATGGTTGATGACCGCAGCGAGAGTGGTGTACTCACGACCGCAACGATGATTCGGGCAGTGGTAGAGTTTCTGTTGATGAACGGGAGAGTTGAGATGCTGGTTGAGTCCATTCAGAGACGAGAAAGCACGGTGACAGAGATAACACTCGTAAGCGTCGATGTGGTAGTTGTATGTTCGGTTGGTGGCGGTGTAGATAGGAGATGCATGCCACTCTAGGAGCTTCTTGCAGATGACTCCGTTCGGGTCGCGTGCGCGCACGGCCTGGTAGAGTTTATCGCGGTCAAGAGGGGCCTTGGGACAAGCACCCCCGCTCGAGGTGGTGGATAAGGCCGGTGGCGGTGTTGCTCATCTGCTTGCAGAAGGGGCACTGGATGTCGCTGGTACTGCGATGAATCCTAGAGTTCAAGTGCTAATCGCGATTAGTCGGACTGCTAGAGTACGAGAATGGGTGAAGTTGACTTACCAGCCGGATGTTGTTTTGGTTGGTGAAATAGCGGTCGCAAGGATCGCAGTAGTTGTGTTCCTCGACCTCGTGGTCGCGGAGATCCTGCTCGTCGTGGAACCGATCGTAACAATCGTCGCATTCATACCAGACACCAGAGTGTTGGGGTGTATCATCATAATCCCAATGGCCCAGGGCGTCCATGTGTTGCTGGACTGCATGCTCGCTGCCAAAGCTGCGATCGCAGGTGTCACATTCCCAGTAGTTATACATCGCGGTGCTTTCCCTGGTAACAACACCTAGGTACTCAACGTGTCCCTGTCTGCCGGGAAACTTCGCGAAAGTGCGTCGGATTGGTGGGAAGAACAGCTGTGAAGCTGAAGGAGTGAGTGGTAGTGTGAAGCGATGTCTGAGATGATGGAAGGCTTCGGGCTGGTTCTAACAGAGAAAGCACTCGCTCGAGACAGGAAAAAGAAGTAGGAGATTAGTGAGTTGATGAATTCAAGAAAAGAAATAAGTGCTTGCTGCGTAGAGTCGTGAAGTTGTGAAGTTGTGACGGGAGGAAGTGAGCTGAGGCGGAGAGGTTGGGGCGGAAGGTGAGGCGCTCCCAGATGTCCGAGGTAAGGTAAGTGCAGGAAGGAGCCGAAGTGAAGTGGGAAGGTACCGACCAAGTGTACTGAAACGGGAGGAAGGTGCGATACACTGGCGACTGCCATGGCTGCCTCACACGGTCTTGCTTTCTTTTCTTGGGGTTTACCTAAGCAAAAGATACTTTGTCTCGCGATGCAAGGGTTATTCTAGGCCCGATGCCACTCTATTTTGTGAGGTGCCTCGTTACACATGTGGCCAGTGAGGAGAGCTCCACGCTCTTGTAAAATATCCGCGAAATTTAGACGATCGTTTGGACAACTTGTTCAGGCTCAATTAAGGAAGGTTGATACTAGAACACGATTCAGTTGACGTTGATCAGCGAACGGCAAAGCTAAACCCAAGCGAGCGCCTTTCTGGCAACCTCATCCAATTCTTCTGGCCCAAACTTGAGCAACTTATTAGCTGCCTCGTCCAGAGCAGATCTGCCAGCTCCATCCTGGAAAAGTTGAGCCACGAGAATTTCAACATATGCCCCTTTGTAGTCACCATTCCGCAATTTGATCTTGCTTTCCTGCCTGGCTTCTTCAGTGCTGAATGTGGTGGTATCCCACTTCTTGTACGTCAGTCTCTCCAACACCTCGAGGATTGCTCGCTGTGAGGTTGTAAGAGCAGAAAGCCTGACATATCAGTTCTTTGTCTCTTCGGATGCTTGAGAACTGCAGCAATTGGCTTGCCAATCTTTGCAATGCTCACAGCCGTGAAGGGCTCGTCACTAGAGTCATAGATCGTAGCTGAGTGGTGCTTAAGGTCGAAACCAAAGTCGGGAAACAAGACCATAGACTGAGACTTCCGTTAGGTACTGAAACTTTCTGAGAATGACGTGATGTGATGCTCACCTAGTCTAGAAGAGGACCATTCTAGAAAGAGGTTTACGTGAAACTGCCATTTTCTTTGACCTTCTCCTCTAGAAGATCTTGTGCTTATACCTTCTTTCCCAAGATAGCGCGGTACTCCGGGACGTCGTTGGGTTCCTTGAGAGTTCCAAAGTCGCTGGGAATAAATCTCTTTATGCCTGCCTTCGCAGCAGTATTGATCACATCAATCTGCTTGTCAAATACAGCGTGGCCCAAGACGCATAGCACAGCGTCTTGTTCTGTCAACGCTTCGTGCAGCGACTGCGGATTGAAGTCCGTGATGGCTTTTTTCACCTGCGATGGAAATGAATTTCCCCCAGTTGAGTGAGCCCAACGGCCACCTCGAAATTGTCTTCTAGTAGAGCTGGAAGAGCATACTGACCGATGCTACCGGTAGCCAAAATATGATTTGAGTTTCAGAATTCTGGATCGACTCTCGGTGTGAACACATGCAGGTATCCAGCAGGGACTTACACCGATCACTGCAACGTTCTTGATTGATGACATTGTCTTATATTGGTGAGTCTTGTCTCAAGTTCAGTAAGCGCATCTAGTAGCCCGTACATATAAATGCTCATCTGGTCTATATTTTCCAGCCGTAGGAATTGAACTTTTTCTTATAGGCGGTTACACAAGTGGCAGGACTTATAAGAGTGCTAACGTTACGAGACTCTCCAGCCTCAATCGAGAACAATTGTATTCCTCAGCGATTCCCTGCCAAAGAGGGGTGGAACAAAGTTTCTTGGTCCTAAGCAAACTTTATGTCTAGGCAGAGAGAAGCTCAACCAACAGACAAAACTTTAGCCGCCGCATTGGTCCGCTCATACGGACTCTATCTCGGACGTTGGTCACCATTGTCCGTTTGCGAATACCATGTCCCTAAGATAAGCCGACATCAGATTCCCAACCAATAATAGGCACTACAATAACGCGTCTTGCATGTCTCGCGAGATTACAGCATGCGATTTCTAACTGATCTGATATCTCATGCCGGTGGTCGTTGTTTTGTCAGCAAAGCTGGGTGGAATCTGTGGCTCCAGCAGTTGTCAATTAGCTTCCAGAGCATACAGAGCTGGAGTTTGCTGTTGGGACCATTGAAAGGTCTTGACATAGCTGGAGACTAGTATAAGACTTCACGTTGCCGCCAGTCTATACGAATGTTGCCTATTGACATGACGTCCTGACCCCAGGACAAAAAGATATTAGTAGAGGGGGCCGATCAGGACAGGTCTACAGGTCTGTACTAGCACGACTAGGCAAGTTTCAGACAAGAGGTTTTCGCCCACAAGGACAAGAAGACAATTAGCTGAAGCATTTGCCTTGCAATTATGAACAAGGTCGTTGAATGAAGTTAAGAAGTATCTGTAGGTTAGGACTATTGCCTTAGGAAGCCTCCATAGGGGGGGACATCCGGTAGTCTTATGCTGAGGAAGGGCGTAACCGAACACTAGGCGTCTGTCTCAGGGAAAATTGCTAAGAACAAGATCTGATCAGAGACTAGGCAGATATTGCTTGTGTGAGATGACAGTTGTGCTGCCTATGGGCATCCCTGCGCATATCTTATGTCCCGATCGTTGACAAAAGCCACCCTAGCCTAGATCGAAGAACGTTCCAAGCCACAGGGAAGCTTGGGGTTAGTGCACAACTGGTGGCGGACTCTGCCAGCGCCACGAATAATGGGAGTCTTTGTATTAATTCTTAGGCGGTTGCTCCGTATGCAGGGTCAAAAAAGCTCAACATCGTCTCTGTAAAGGAAATTTCTATGTGAAAAAGACTCTGCTGGAATTCGGTGATATAGGCCAAAGCATTCGAGTAGACTTCCGAGTCTGATCAATCGGGCGCTTCCTACAAAAAAGACTGAATTATATTTGATCTACATACACACAGTTTATTCTCAAAGAGGGGCGAGAACTTGTGTCGAAAAGGCTTAAAGTATTCAAATTTGAAAGCAGACAATGTATTTTTTTTAGAGGATGGTGTATCTTTGTAGAAACAGATTTGATTAACGACAATAACCCCACACATCTGATGTGAGAAACTGAGGATTTTTCATGCACGTTTCAAAGGATATTGCTTTATTCATAATAGATGTAGTGTAAGCTCATTGATGCCCGATACTATGTAACTCAGTAAACATATGTCGCATCATTTTCTCATCCTATGGTGACGACTATAGTCGCTGTATCAAGCGGAGATATGAGGGTATCCTCAATGTCAAAGAATTGCCGTCCTTCAACGACGGTAGGTGTCGAGTCTGTAGGGGACACCGTAATAATCGGGCAGGGCACAAGTCGACTTTGGCTCTAGCGCAAAACAACTGACAACTCGTGGTGTTTCCGGCTCACTGGCTAGACAGAAAAGTCGCTTGTATCCGCCGTTGTTGGTGATGCTCAATGCAGGAATGGTGAGAGACATGGAGCCAGGGGGCACTGTTGCCGTGTACTTTTTGGAGGCGCCGTCAAAGTTGACTGCTACGCTGTATTCTTTGTCTTTGTCGGTGGTGATAACGTCGGATTGGCATCGCGACTGGGCAACGGCAACCAATGGAAGGCTGAGAAGAAGGCTCATGGTTGAGAGAGTAGAAATATGCATCTTGGCTTGTCTGCGAAGTTTTGAGAGATGTTGGATGGAAATTGTCTGTAACTGATTTTGAGTAAATTTCTCGTTTTCTCATGAGTTGTAAGTCGTCACTTATCTAAATACTGATTCGTCTTCCGCAACAGTTCCACATGTTCATGACATTGTGGAATGCAGTGTAGCCCCTGAGGTGTTTGGACTAATATGACTTGAACTCTATATTGATTAAAGTTCCTCGAAACGTCGTTGATCAACAGGCGCACTGACAGCGTTCCCGGAACCAAATTCGACTGCCCACCAGCCGAACCCGAAAATCTATGATCAATGCCATCGTGGACGAGTCATGATGCCTATGTTAACGACTTGTGCACTTCATGGCCCGCAGTACTCCGAAATCATACGACGTAGTTCTGGATCGAATCCGCCTCATTTAACTCGGAGGTGGGTACAACGGGTCGAGCGGCGGGCAGTTCACACGAGTCTTGTGAACACCGCTCGGTCACCAAATTGTCGCACTAGAACGACTCCTTAAATCGGAACTCGCAACTCGCAACTCACAACGCGATTAGTTAGTGAGCGTTGCAGGGTCAGCGGTGTTTGAACGAATGGCCGTGTCAACTGTTAAGGACTTGCAATACCTCCAGCCCTACAAATATCCAGGTTTCTGGAAACATTAGTCCGGTAGGTGGGAATGCTTGCCGAGTTCCAGCTTCGCCCAGTTCGGTCGAGTGACAAGTGTTCAAAATCTGATTGTGGTCGCGTTAATTGGTTCCACTTACGCAATCTGTGGGCTTTCTTGGCTGACATGTCCGTTCCTCCAAGAGAGACCAGTTGGCAGGAGGGAAATGCACTGATCTCGCAAGTGAACTCACCCAAAAGAGCAGAAATGCATACTTATAGGACGAGACATCATAAAATCAATAGAGAGATTGATATGAGTGGGTTGAATTCGAAGCTGAATCTGTCAGAATTCTAACCTGGTCGCCGGGGAGTCATTGGCTGACGAGCCGCGATTCCGATATTTTGTGCCTCTTAGGACGGTTTCGGACAACGCGAGGCTCGAATGCACGGTTAAAGTGTCATTAAAGCGCTGCAGATCGATCGGATCGGTAGAATTTCCGGAACCCACGCATTTCCAGAACACCAAACATGCCCGGATGAACCTAGCCACCATCGGTCGACATGTCATTTCTGTCCCGCATCCGGAACCGAAGGTGGAGACGAAGGTTCCGGCTCCCAAGGAACGCTCGCCCGGGTAGGTATGAACGCCAAAGTCTTCACAATGTCTTGCATGCGGTCTCCCAAAGTTCTCCCTCGAGATTGACCGTGTTTCTCTCTTCTAGTGGACCCTAAGAAAGAAAGCGGAAAACGCCGGTGGCGATTGCCAATCGCTGGGGCTGCGCAGAAGCTTTGAGGCCTGAAAAGTCAAACGGCCAAACAAACGTGTAAAGGTTTTTCATTTCAACCGTAGAGCTCAATTGCAAACCCCTGAGTCCCCCATCCGCCGCCGTGGCTTGATCATTCTACCCTCACTAAACTCATTGGCTGACGCTAGATTACATCGGCTTTCTCGCGGTCTTGATATATGCTGAAGGGTACGCACGCGCGTCAAGATTGCCATTTGCACAGACAGCCAGGCTTTACCTGTGGCGTCGATAAAGATGCGTCCCAGGCGCGGATGGGATTCTCCGCCCTTTAGCAGTCCGCCATCACCCTATAGGAGCCTGTTCCATCAATCCGTTGCTAGGCATAGCGATGACGGTCCACGATGGCCGTGATTGGGTCTTCCCCAAGCCATGGTACTGGTGTCGAACGCGATCCCTCATCCGGCGATCTTGAAGACAAGAACGCATCCGTGCGTGGGCCCAGATCGACAGCCTAGCCCCCCTCCAGCTAGCAGGAAGACAAACAATGAAATGTCAAGCCACGACGAGCCTGGCCTTGCAGGAGGGCTGATACTGCGATGCGGCCCCTGCATCTGCCGTGGCGCCCTCGATGCGAGCTTGGGAACGTAGTTCCTTCAATGATGGAAGAGTTGGGCGAATGGCGAGCTGTGGCGTTGGTCCGTCATCTATGTTTCTCCTCCTGTTGATCGCTGGAGGCATTCTTTAAATCGTCCTTCTACCCAGTGTCTTTGCCTTGTTCCTGGATTCGTTGTTGTCCAACGGCTGCCGGCGGGAGAGACCCTGAATCTCTACGTCTCCTGGAGCCTCAGTGCATGTCAGCAAGACAGAGTCCTCGAATATGCATCCGTTCCGCATCGCCTCTCTGCTGTTGGCGAGCCTTGGCGGCTTTGGTGTGGCTGCGAAGTCACTCAGCTTGGAAGGTATTCCCAGTTGCGCTGTAAGCAATGATATCATATCACAGGTTTGCCAAAGAATCAACTAGCTGACTATCATTTGTCTAGATCACTTGCATGGTCAAAGCCCTTCCCTCGACGACCTGCTCTCCTACAGACCAAGCATGCCTCTGCGTCGATCCCAAGTTCAACGCCGCGGTGCAGCCTTGCATTCAATCAACATGCACGATCCAAGAGAGCCTGAGTGAGTCAAGGCGGAAACACGTTTGATATGTTCGCATTATGAGAAGCTAACGGCGTGATAGTTGTTACCAATGCAACCTGGTCGAATTGTGGCTTCCCGTACAGTGACCAAACTTCCAACATTCATTTGATCAGTGGAGTTGTTACTGCCATCGGTATCATCTTCATCATGATGAGGGTGGCTACCAAGGTCGCGAAGCTCTCTGCCTGGGGCGCAGACGACACTGTCATTATTGTTGCTTTTGTGAGTGACAATTTCCTTCCTTTTATGCCTCTCTAATTGTCTCCCAGGCGTTGTTCATCGGGTTCTTCGTGGAACTGTTTTACTGTAAGTTTCTAATTTACTATCAGACAGAGCAATTGGGTGCTTGGGAATTAACAGCATGATCGCAGTCGTCAAAGCAGGACTTGGCAAGGACATTTGGACTCTCCATGACTACGAGATTACCTACTTTCTCAAGGTAAGTAGGATCAGTTTCTCGGATTACGTTTGAAAGTATACTAAGCATGTTAAAGCTCCTCTTCGTCCTCGAGTTCTTCTACATCATCGGCCTAGGTGTGGTTAAGGCGTCCATCCTTTTCTTCTTCTTGAAGATTTTCCCCAACCGAGGCTTCCGCCGCATCTTGTGGTTCATGCAGATTCTCAACATGCTCGTGGTTCTGTCTTATGTGATTCTATGCTTCGCGCAATGCCAGCCATTCTCACACTTTTGGAACGGATGGGATGGTGCACACGAAGGCCACTGCGTCGACTTAAACAGGATCGGATTGAGCCACGTCTCACTCAATATTGCCCTCGATATCATCATGCTCATTCTGCCAATCACGCAGATCTACAAGCTTCAGCTGAATCGGAAGAAGAAGATTGGTGTCATGGCCATGTTTTTGGTCGGTGTCTTGTAAGTTCCAGCCTTACAAAGCATACCCTTTCATATCATTGACTAACCCTGTAATATGAAGCCTTACTATTGTCAGCATCTTGCGTATCAAGACGCTCATAGCATTCGCAACCTCGCTCAATACCACCGCAGATTCAGTGGCCGTCGTTCTCTGGGCTTACGTGGAGCTCGGAGTCGGCATCGTCGTCGCATGTATGCCCAACGTCTGGCAACTGCTGAAGACTTTGCCGTCCAAGGTGATTCAACTGTCGACGACGCTTGCTTCTAACATCAGTCACTCAAGCACTCGCACTCGACCCAGTTCACAAATCTTCCTTGATAAGCAGAGTCCGACCAAGCAGTCATTCACAGAGACTTCATCGACTCAGATTGTTTCGACATCGGCACCATCAATTTCGAGTCATTGAGTCAATCGTTTACCTTTCACAGAGTACGAGATTTTGTTATGCTCTAAAACTTACGTCATTTTTGTTCTGTCGAGGTGTAATTCAACGGGCGCACATTTTGGTGTTTGGAAATGATACCCGGCAATGACGTGGCGTAATTTGCCTGGAATAATTAGGTCAAGATGAATTTTCTTCAGGGCACTGTGTTCACAACCTCACTACACTTAGAAAACGTGAACAATGGTGTGAATTGTACTTATTGCCATCACAAGCACACGTGATGTCCCCTCCGCGTCGTCACTTTCGATGTCACATGAAATGGCATGGGTCTTGGACGTTACATCGAACGTTGACGAAGCTCTACCTGTATTGCATCGTCGACGTCAAGGTGTAACAGGGATGAGTGCTGAATGCTCCACGTGAAGTGCTAGCGACGTGTTCGCGCGCTTAATTGTGTGCCTCACCACTCCAAACCATGTGTTGGGCAGAATCAATTGTCCAATCATCAAGTCCAATTGAAAGTTCGTCAACTTCGAAGTGCTATCCACGTGTACTCTCTTCATCAAGTCAGGGATGTGGGAGTCATTTCATCGCGATGCTGCAGTCGTGACCAGGATGAGATCATGCAGTGAACCTAATTGATCGCCGGCAGCCCCGTGCCGTGAGTCAACCAGCTCTTTGGGTTTTCCTTAGACGAATGGGATGAACGGAACAGGAATGTACTTGGCAGTATTCGGGACCACCTTTCAGTTTCACCACTTCATCCAGGGTGAATCATCTGCCATGTTATGAACCACTTGCTGGGGTTATCCTCTTGCTGGTCTCTTCAGAGTCAAACTTGTCAAGCCACGCATACTTTGGGAGACAAACTACCGCGCTGATGACCCCCCCCTGGTCCGGTCTAACCGCTGCCAACTGCAGCCACTGATTGTCGCCTTGCCGATGTTGAGGCTTTATTGTGAATCTGTGCCTGGGGAATTTCTCGAAAAAAGGTAAGCAGCACGAACCATGAGACCCATCGTCTCCTCTAGGCCAATGAGCGAGTCTTAGGAAAGGCAACCGCGTATCCAGGCAATGTGAAGTTGAAGCCCTGCGTAACATCTATCGTCGTGTAGCTTGTCAGCCTGCCAGGTAACACAGCACGCGCTGCGCCCTCATCATCGCCAAGCATGACTCACTCCTCATCAGCCACTTGGTCCCCAATCAGCGGCCATTGCAACCCACCATCAGGCCCCTTGAGCACCCCCAAGTTGGACTGACACTAAGCTTCCGGGAGCGTTCTGCAGGCCGGCTACAGGGGTGAGCGAAGGCGCCGACGCGTTACAGCCTACGCCAGGCCCGACTCACTCTTCGGAGGCCAACATCATCAGTTTCGCCCGCAACATCGAGGTAATCCGTCTAGATGTACATATATCTCTGCTATTCGCCGACATTCCATCTGTCTAATACTGCAACCTTCATATTCGGCCAGCCTCAAGTCACCGCGCGCGCCCTTGCGTCAGCCCCCTCATCGACTCACTCTACCTCTATTCTACGCCCTTCCTAGGACACGCCTCCCTTCTGGTCCCTCACTTACACCAACACACGCAAAACGTAACCGGACATACCCCGCGTATAAAGCCATCCTTCTGCCCAGCATGGGTTTAAGACTTCACAACAGTAGCAGCGATGCCCTAGATCTAGATCTCACTCAGCGGTACCTGCCCCACGGCCCCTCGCAGGTCAGCAGGCCGCAACCCCGCGCCCACTACAACGGCGCCTACTTCCATCCCGACGGCTCTATTGCCCTAAGCCGAGAGCTCGCCAACCACAAGCTCCCTCTCCTCGACCTCGTCCTCACAGCGAACCACCAGAAACGGGCCCGCCGGCAACGCCAGACACGTCGGAGCCAGACTCACCGCTCTTCACGGCAATGGCGCATCGACGAGGCGGCCGAGGGCCGCACCCTGGCCTCAAGTGGCCACAAACTCCCCGGCGAGCACCGTCGGACGCCGTCCCTGGAGAGACAGGATGCCTTCCGGGATCCTCGCACAACAAAAGCTTGGCTCTACCCCGACGACGCCCCCGATATTGCAGAACTGTACCAAATGGGTCTTCTCTATGATGATGAGCATCTCCGTGGTCCTGCTTTCGGTCTCGATGCCATCGACAGGTACGCGGAGCCTGAGTACACCATGCGCCCTACCAAGCGGGCGCGCAAGTCTAAGCCCCAGCAGATCTCGTACGATGACGATCTGCAACTCGCCCTCGACCTATCTCTAGCCGAACTCGGCCGAGATGAGTCTTTCGCTCAATTCCTTTGCTCCCCGGAACTAGATGAGCTCCCTTCAGGCGATGAGTCTGACAGCAGCAGCACGTACAGCGCACGACTCGCGCCCCTGCAGTTCGTTTCCGAGCTTTTGGGGTCGCCGGATTATTTTAGCGATGACACGCCTGAGCTAACGACTGATTCCGCCTGTGATTTTTCCTGCTCTTTCAACTACTCTTCTGATGACGAATTATCCTCTGCGGAACACCAAAAAACTCTGATGACAGCGACAGAATATGGAGAAACCACCCAGAAGCACGACAGCACCTGGATGATGCCGGGTGACGGCTCGTAGCAAGTCCCCAAGGATCCCCGCGTGCCACTCGGATCTCGACTGCGATTCCTTTGGAGAGGCGCTCGCGCCCCCGAAGTGGACTGGCCCTCATTTAGCCCGGCTTCACCGGGAGCGATGCACGTGGGTTGGTTCCGGGTCTCTGCGTATTGTTGCGATTTTAGGAGTCATGGTTGGACAGCTGTGTGCTCGTGTAAGAATGACACTGAGCTCGCTGTCTTTGATCTTTTTCATTTTGTCTGTAACTTCCCATCACCCTGTATAGCATTCAGCCACTTGTTAATCAAATAACTTCAAACCTTCAACCCTTAATACCTGTTACAATAACTTTCTGCATGCCGACTACCTCAATGGGTAGACTTTAACAGACATTGATCTTTTCTCGTATGCAGCTCTCACAACAAATTGCTCATGGCATTGTAAGCCTTGGATCTCCGGCTTTGAATGGATGCCTACCCGACCCACGCCACGGCATCTAGACTTCGGCAGCAAAGGAGAATAACGTTGTACCAGAATAATTACTCAACCCGCAGAAGAATAACAAGACTCGGGCAAACTGCAGACACCGAGAAGTAAAGACGATATTCAATTTCGTGGGCTAAGTTTTGCGGAGTTACCGGAGCAATTCGATACCGAATTTACCGTGCGCTGGGCGAGACGCTCGCGATGAATTAGTCAAGGTCGCCGAGAGCATGAAGGTTCACTCAGGGCCCGAATTGACCGAATAATGATCCTAACGCTAGAAGCAATTACCGTAGTGTGTACAATGCCTCAGAAGACCCTTCTCGCCTGGGTCTTGCCTATTCGGCGCATGACGAGAGTCATGTAACGTCTTTCCGGGGCTTAGCCAAAAGCTTAGCATAAGTGTAAATATATGAAGCTAGTCCTAATATACTCTGGTCACCAACGTCTAGAACTCTTTGTCTGGCTAAATCTTAGGAGGTAGAAAATTCGTAAAGGCAATCTTGCACAGCACATGATCTTACACGAGGCAAAGGCTTCTTTGCGGAAACAGAGTGTTTTCGTTTTCCGGGTTCAGGAAAGACCACTGTGAGTCTCTCATCAAAAGACTTGGTAAAGTCCTTGAGTAAGATTATTCATGAATACCCGGATGGCCTATCGACATGGAAATTCACTACCTGGTCTTAACTTCTTCAGCAGCGTTGGAAGCTTGTTCTTTGCGGGGTGTTCAAGTGCAGTCTAAAGATAGCTAGATTGTAGTCGTGCGGTCGCCATTTTCTCCCACCGGGAGTCTATAAACGAATAAACCCACATTCAGTCTGAACAAGCTTCACGAGATTGGTTATGGAGCAATATAGTCAAACTCTAAGAAGGTGCTCTGTCTTTAGGCGAAGATACCCTGTTGCACCAAGCTGTGCACTAGAACATCTCGCTTTCGGGTCCTCGGCAAGAAGACTTCTCATTTCTATCGAAGGCTCACGATAGCTTCGAACTGTAAGTCATGGATCTGTCCACTTGGAAGATGGGAAAGTCAGCCATCTGGAGCCACAATTTCTTCATGTGTCCCGGCTCGTCCGCCTCAATTCAAGTATAAAGCATCTCTGAATACCATGAAGAATCACTTCTCTCATCAGACAACTCATCCACTCTTTCTCAACCACACTCACTTATCATCACTCTTTACAATTACTTTCATTGTAGCAATCAACCAAAATGCATTTCCAACTCATCCAGTCTGCAGCTCTGTTGGCAGCTGTCCTCCCGACGGCCCTCGCAGCCGTTCCCTCTGATAACTTGGAGCGCCGAGCTGAGTGGCCTACCACCACTCATGATATCGAGCTTTCCGAGTTGGGAAACATCGAGTTGTACTCTCAGAATGAGAACCCTGCCAATGTGGTTCAGAGAGAGCTCGAAGCGCGAAGCTCCGCGTCTGCCTTTGTCTGCAGAGGTCGTCGCCCCCTGCCCCGCAGCGGCGGAAAGGTACGAACTCATCATTCCGATTCTACCTGAGTAACATTCGTGCTGACATCGATACAGTGGCTTTATCGTGAGGCCACCTGTGACCGCACCGGCACTGACGTGAACACGTTCAAGGTGAGCAAAGTCCCATCATGCCTTGGACGAGCCGCGCTAATAAGCTTCAGGTCTCCTGCATGGCCGAGAACTCCCACGCCGACATCCTTTACCGCCTCCCCGGCGCCTGCGGCAAGAATCAGTGGTGCGTCGAGTTCCACGGCTACAACGAGATTGGCCAGGGCGCCTGGGACGTCACCTGCGTCGACAAGCCCAACATTCACACCTGGGTTGCCAACACCTTTTCCAACCCGGGCCAGGTCACCACCTGCAGCTCCGGATGGAACAACAACGGCAAGCGCAACCTCAAGGCCACCTTCGAGGTCGATGTCATGGATGCTGGTGGAATCAACCGCATCAACCCCAAGGAGATCTACTACCAGCTTAGCGGAAAGCGTATCGGTGTCTCCCGGTCTGGTGACTCTGAGGTTGGTTCGGGATCAGTCATTATTCCTCCTGGTGGATCTATCCAGGCATGCGTCACCGCGTACTCTGGGCAGATCATCAACATGCTTGGTGCTCTTACTTCTATCGTGTCGCTTTAGACCGAGAAAAAGCTAGTTCAGCAAGGCTTCAGTACTATTATGCTACACGCTTGGGAGGCTTTGATGTTCACACCAAACTAATTGGGGTCTCGAAAAAGAGATCAACACAGTCATTACCGAACATTTGTACTTCAGATAGACTCAATTTAGTTAATAAGTGCTCATTTCTTCATCACAAGGTCAATTCATGTTACGAAGTGAGATCTTTAAGCGTGCGGATTAAGTAAAGTACTTACACAAGACATCTGAAGGTTTCGTGTGGAATATTGCCTATGGTGAATCGCCTCACAAACGTGTTATTTTCCTCTCATACCAGGAGCATTGAAGGATGGGCAATTATTCATATTGGAGTATTAGAGAATTTTGAACAGTACTAAGTAGAATATGTACAAATGAAATAAAGTGGCGAAAGATGAAATTGCTACCAGTCACGATATTAGTCCTCCAAGGAGCTGTCAAATCCTCACCCAAACCCTCAAGGGGTCTTCCCGAGAAGCTAAGTATTGGTAGTCACGTCTTTGGACCACAAATTCCAAAAGCAGACTGGGTACTCAATCATAGCCGCTGCATCGAAGGGTGGCGGAAAGACGGGATCATCCAACTTGCCATCTCCATCCTTCAACTTGTAACACTCGTAGTTATTGATCAGGGCGGCGCGGAAGTCCCGAATCCAGTGCTTCATGTCTTCTGCTTCACTGTCGCTGATTGTGTAATGCTTCAGTTTGCTATCAACACCAATTTCGGCGTAGCCAAGTGCGATACAATTCTGACGGCTGATTAGCATTCCATTTGGTGTGAAAGGACGGAGATGGCAGTAGCTTTGCAAACTCACATTATCATACCACATCCGCGCCGCTTTGCTTTCGCAAGCCTCTTGGTTCATGTAGGTGACACCACTCCCCTGGTAAGAAAAGCAGAGTCAGCATTCCAACTCAGTTTGGCAAGATTGAAAAGAGGAGACCACTTACAGTAGGTACAACTTTCTGATCGGCGGATGTGACGAGGAACTTGTACTCTCTCTTGTTGGCCGTCTTCATAGAGCGGATTAGTGCAAACTCTCTCTGCGGAATGCATTAGTGACTTGACATCTTGGTTTTTGCAAGAATCGAGCAAACTTACAAATTTGCCAAAGACGTTGGTTGCCATCATCTCAATCATGTCGCCTACCCACTCAGAACTCAACCACGCACCATCGTCAAAATGGCGCAGAATGTATTCCCTCATACCGTCTTCACCGACCCGTGGAATTGTCTCCCCATTGATAACGGAACTAAGTGCAGTTTTGCAGTGATTCGAGATGTGGGAGAACATAGTGCTGTAACTATCTTTCAAGTTCTTCTCGAGACCCGCGGGATCGACTTCCGGAACGTTTTCAGCTGTTGTAGCCGCAATAGCGATCACGCCAGCGAACAGCGTCATGGGGTTGACAAACTTGCCGAGCACGCCCGCTCCCGTGCTTCCCGGTAAAGCGTCCGAGATGGTGCCACCGACACCTGCGAGACTCGTGAAGAGACCGACTAGCATGTTGAGAATGGTATTGGTATCATCCTTAGGTGTGCCGTACTTGTCCACAATGGTAGTAATGTCACTCCCCAGAGCAGTGACGCTGTCGTTGACCATCATACCCCAGAATTTGGCCATGCCATCATGCAGGTTGGCGATCTGCATATGCACGTAGAATGCCTCAGGGGGGTTGTACTCGGAGCAACTCTTGGAAGGGCCAGCACAAGAGTGGAAGATATCTCCACAAGTGATTTGCGTACCGAGGATCTTGTTCAGATAGTTTGTCGACCAGGTTGGCGGACTGTTCGTCTCGAACCACTTTGTCAGGCTAGCACGGGCACCCGAGTTCTCCCAAGTGTTCTTGAGCGTCAGCTGTGTCGTTCCGAGGAACTGGTATGAGCAGATTCCCTCCGGAACTTCATCGTTGCCGCTGTTAGGATCTTCGGGTCTCACGGGTAACTTAGGATCGATAACACCCTCGGGGTCGTCGCCCTCGACATTACTGAGGCCACAGGCGGGGCTGAAGGATGTCTCGGCGATGTTGTTGATCGATTCAAGGACGTAGTGTTCATCAGCTCGGAAATCGCCCGAGAGGTCAGTGTAGAAGAGACATGTTCCAGCAGCTAGACCGGCGAACGCCATCTCTGTCTGTTGACGCCAGTGGAACGCTGAGCCCAGTGGTCTGCTTGCGTCTTCGCCTTCGTTGTACCAGACCCAAGTGTCGCCGGAGAACTTTTCAATCCACAAGAGATCGTCTCTTCCGTCGCCATTTACGTCAGCAAAGCGAAGCATGGCTCTGTCGTGGCCCTCGGCAACCTTGATCTGGCCGACAACCTTAAAACTTCCATCATTCTGGTGTAGGAGTCCGGTGATGAACCCATCAGGGCGGAGACAAAGGAAGTCGGCTCTTTTGTTGCCAGTCAAATCTGCGAAGCGAACAGCCACTTGTCTCGTTAGCTCCATGTAAACGTACCACGGTATGCCTTTATAAACTCACGGTCGTTGATTCCGACACCTCTTCTCTCGTGACAGGGGAGAGCGGGCACTTGGTTGATCTCAGTGAATTGCCAAGACTGTGTCTTCGGATACTCGTTGATGAACACCCGCAACTTGTTGTTGGTGGGGTTAACGTAGATGATATCACACGCACCATCGCCGTCCCAATCAGCGAGGTGCAAGTCCAGCCTATGCATAGCCGTGGGCGGCGTCCAGATGACCCCCGGACTCCAGTCCCAGAAGCCCTCAGCATCGTTGTCAGCGATGGCCTTCTTGCCTCTGTTCATGAATAATTCCATCTTGCCGTTGGACCATGTCCACACATAGTCAGAGCGACCATCAGCGTGTCCGACCATGTTGCAATACTTGTTGCCATCCATCTTCAGCTTGGAGGCACCTCCGCCAGTGTTCTTCCACACGCGCATCTTGAAGCTATGCATGCCGTTGCTGAGTTTTGCATGCTCAAGGAAGACGTAATCTTTGAGTGAGAGATTTCCGAAGGATGATGAACCTCCATAGACTCGAGCAAAGTGAACGCGTTTGCGGAGATCGGTCTCTTGCTTGGTGATGTAGCCGGGGACTCCCTTGTGAGTGGGACCAGTACCTTCTTTCTCGAAAAAGCCTTGACGCCAAGCGACATTGAGACCATCGCCTTCTTTCTTCTTCTTGCAAGAGCGGCTGTTCGTGAAGGTGGTCGTAGCGCCTGTCTTGTCCGTCCATAGCCAATCGTCGCGACCCTTGCGAAAATATTAGCTTCAGCTCAAAGGCATGGTAGGACTTTGACATACGTCGCCGTTGATATCGTGAAATTGAACACCCTTGATATCTCGTGTGTACTGATCCTCCCATCGTACACCTAAAGCTTGCCAATATTTGGGCTTGTCATCAACCCATCCGTTTCGCCAGGCGGTCACAGTGCCCAGCTTGTCGATGACGAGGTAATCGCCTCGTCCATCGCCGTCGATATCGGCCATGCGTACGTTGTCTCTACTGGAAGTTTCGGTACTCTTGATCAGACCAAGGTGTCTGAATGTAGGCGGCCTCACTCCTCTGCTGCCGTCTCCGTTGTTGATGGATAGGTACGCGTTGCCCTTACTATCGATGCAGACCATATCGTCGAGGCCGTCACCGTTCATGTCAATGAAGTATTGGCTAGCTGCATCACAATACATGCCAGGGTCGAAGTCAGTGGAGAGCTTTGTAAACTCCCCTTTACCATCGCCGGAGTTGGACCTGCTTCGTATCAGCCTCCATATGAAGAAGTCCGGAAAAAAAAAAGCATCGAAACGTTGTCTACTAACCAAACTGCAAAGGTGTTTGAGGTGTCACTCGTTTTGACCCATGCAATGAAGTCATCGTACTTGTCTGAGAAGAGTCGAGCGAATCGCCACTGGTCACGATCCCATTCACTCTCGGTCGTTGACCAGATGATCTACTATTGTTAGCTTGAAAGCAATTCCACGGCGTGGACATATTCGCATCACTCACTCCCATCTCTTCACTGTAATGACGGTAGACCTCGTCATCGTTGCCAGTACCTCTCTGCGTTCTGCCGCCCGGATTGAGACCTGAGCCAGAAAACTTGTCGCAAACTGGATCAGCCACTTCGAATTCGGTTGACGGAGGCATGACCTGCCCGAGTGCGACCGCTTTAAGGATAGCTCTGTAGAAGATGTAAGCCATCTTACGATGTCCTTCGTCCTGCGGAAGTTATGTCAGTGGATACAGAAGGTCAGCCAGTCTATGAAGTCGTAGCAGACGTACGTTGGGATGCGTGTGGGGATTCTCGTCCGGCTTGTAGTCCGCCCATTCAGGCTTTGCGTCTTTCGCTTGTATCCAACCGTGCTGTGGCCCTTCCGGTGGATCCATATCGGCCAGAACAATGCATCTACCGTCAGCTTCTCGGTCATTGACTAGGCGTCGATACTCCTGGTTGATGAAAATGCGGTTGACGGCCCCAGCTTCGTCTGAAGTGTCTAGAAGAGTCGACAGCATGATGCAGGCGTTTCCCATGTCCTCGGAGTTCCAGATGTCGTTGAGCATGTCGTCCATTCGGTGGTATATGCCGGCTGGGTCAATGGTTCGCACTGCATCATTCGTACCTCCATTGATGATGATAATGTTTGCCTGTTTTGATGATATGTAAGTAGCGGTATGCTGACGACAGACTTGGTACAGACCTTGTATCCCAATGCGTGTTGGAGTCGAGTTCGAATCTCAGTCAGAATGTCTCCAGGGTTGGCTTCGTGATCCTGAATATCAAGTGTTATTAGCCAAAGGCTCATAGAGAGCTTTGAGTAAGCTCACATTATCTTTCATGGTCCCGGAGTTTCGACCTCCAACCATGTCAACCTCGAAGCCATCGAAGCGAAGAGCATCTCTCAGTGGCTTTCTCAAACTACAAAATGTCAGCTGAATCGCTCATAAAACATGAATAACCAAGACAATAGACGTACCCGTTGCCATTCGTTGATCCGACACCGCTCATGATAGATGCACCAAGCGGCAAAATTCGCAAATCAGGCTTATCCGCTCGCTTTGTCACAATGGGGCCAAAGTCGGCAAAGGGATGAGTTTCGACTATCGGAAAGTCGTCATTGCGAGGATCGTAGTTTGCTGGGAACGCAGCACTAAGCCCGCCCAAGCCGGAGCTTGCGAGCCAGAGTCCTGTCAACCAATGCATCATGGAATCTTAATGAAAGTGAGATGCTGGCCAGAAGAAGGTCATTCAGTCTGGAGAGAAAGAAAACACCTATATATGGCTCTCTTCACCAAAGCTTGAGATCAAGTAGTTCCACGACATCGTGAAGTCTCTGAGCTCCAGTCACTTACACGGGATTTTTACTGCTGCCTGGCTAATCCACACGTTAGACTTAAATTTTAAGATTGAAGAACCAGAGTTTACTAGCCTAGACCCGGTAGAATTACCCTTTCGAGCACCTGTCAGCTTCGCATCGTGCAATCGCAAGGACTGCAATCCCGATTACCCACTGTATTAAGACCCATGGTAAGCGGTAGCAAGTGGGGGCTGCACGTCGGAAGGATTCTTCGAGTGCAAAAGCAATAACTTTCCCATACTTGATTCTCCTCCTGCCGCGATCACGATCCTTCGAAGAGCGGAATGCTCGGGAAGGGTCACGTCTGAATGACACTGCGGGGGCCCGCCAAGTACGAACACACTGTTGTCGGAGTGAGGTCCGTGAATATGATGGTACCCAGCGAACCGGAAGGGATCTTACTTGGCCAAGCCCAACGGCCCGTTGCGCTTGGCAGAGTCCGACTTTGGCAGGGTCCGGCCCAACATGGGGGTACCGTTGCAAAAGTCGCTGCCTGCCGTGCTCGCCCACCTGCCAAATGAGGTGATAGTTTCTGGACATCATGTGGTTCCAGGAGGATTATCTTCCATGTCGAGCATTTCAATGACCGGGAAGAAACTTCTGTCTACCAGTCATCTACTTTCTATGGAGTCGGTCTCGCTCTCACCTTTTAACCCCTGGAGCCTGGACGAGGTTGCTCGCCTGCCGACCCGCGAGATCTCTCAAACAGCCCATTCTGAGAAAGAAATATCACGCTGACAAAGAAGCCGCATGTTCTAGTAATTGACAAATGTCTGTCTTTAGGTATTACTGCGGTGCTACTTAACATAACCACAATGCAGTGAGAAAATAGTCGTTGTCTTTGGTCGGGGACATACTAGTTCAACTTCACCATCACATGTAACTTATTTTGGCCTCCCAAATTTAGTCGGATTGTGCCGTTTCTCGAGAAAGCATGATACTCCACCAGGACGATAAGACTTTCAACCTCAGCTCATCTACTGCAGAACCAGTCCATCCCCTGAACCGAGCTCAACGAAATCGTATTCTGGAACTCTACCCTGCATCCTTGCCTCTTCAGCCTCAACAGCCTGTTTAAGCGTATATTGCGTACGCATAAGCAGTGGTGCGATGAGCCCTCCGCCCTTCTTTGCTTCGTCGTGTGTCGCAACCCAGTACCGAGCTCCAGTCTCGGCCACAGCGTGGATGCCATTCAAAGCTCCTAAGTTTAGCTGTTTTGTCATCCAGATGCGAACGTCGTCAAGGCCATGAAGTAATGCCAGTGTCGAGAACCCAGATTTACGAATGCATTCCAAGTCTGCTGCTTGTATACCATGAGGAGAGTATAATATCGTCTCCGGTGTTCCCGAGTCAAAGGCGATCATAATGGCCGAGTGGTAATACAGGGCGTTTCCTTCGGTGATGACCCGCCCGATGCCGACCCATGGTGGAAGGCCTGAAATACTCAAATCAGACTTCCAATCCTTGGTTTGGGAGGAGAATCCAGGAGTAGTGGTGACAGAAGAAAAGTGACCCCATGACCGGATAAGGTCAGCAGCTTTATCGGTGGCAAATACTGGCGTTGACTTAGGAAGCTCCTCCAGAGTCGCCTGGTGGCAATGATCAGTGAATTCGTGCGAAATGGCTACAACGTCGATATATGGTTTATCAGTGGCCTTTGGACTGTCGGAGCCGTCTTCAAAGCCGGCAAGAATCGAGTTTAGTTGGTCCATGGTTTTCAGACTGGGTTCGACAACGTGCCACTGGGTAGAGAACCATGACGCGACATCGGATTGCGGGCCTTGCAACCACGGGTCAATGAGAACATTGAAATGCTTTCGATCGGGAGGAGGGGCCAGCGACGGGGGATACGGTAGCTGAATGAGCCAGGTGGTGTCGGCATTGAGGTGGACGAGAACGGGCCGTTGAGACCCCAAGGCTTCCAGCCAACCGGCTCGGTCGCTGACTTGGATCGTCGCCGGCACACTTGATGTTTCCGAATTGTCTTGAATAGCCATAAGAATGTCGTTGGCTTCGGGTTTCGTGGTGGAAATTTGATGTGAGATGTTCAAGAAGCGTTTTCGATGGGGTTCGCTCGGCGCAAGCCGGTCCTAGTTGATGTTGGATTGGTGTCCTAAGTAGGAAAAGCATGACGTAGTCGAGTCGCTGCGCCCCGATGATCTGTTTCCAACGAGTACTAACATAACGTCGTATGGCTGACAACTCCGACTATTACACGATGACCACCTCATAGGTCGGGTAAACGCAAGACATGGAAGGGAGGTTCAACTAGCTCATTAGTTTAGAGTATATCCATAACAATTTGCACGATTTTCCAAATACATCTCTGCATATAATACACCTGTGACTCGGGTTTCCACATTCAAGTAATGGCAGCTCTCAGACCCCTTTTGGAGAAGACTTTATCGCACGGACTTAATGGTCACCATCAACGGGTGTTTCTCCCAGAGAATGTAGGCCTTCTGATCCGACCAGTTCTTGCTCTCTTGGCAAAGACTAAGGTCAAAGTTCCAGAGTGTTTTAGCCAGAATAAGTCTCATCTCGTGCCAAGCGAGACTAGGACCGGGAAATTTGTGGTCAGCCAACTGAAGCTCCTACCACCCAGAGAAAGAGGATAACTTACTTAATGCCAATGCAGTTTCGAGGGCCGAGAGAGAAAGGCTGCACGACTTCCTTCGTGTTTGGCTCATACTCTGGCCCGGGAATCCATCGCTCAGGAATAAATGCTTCAGGGTCCTTGAAGTTGCGTGGCGAATGGTTTGCAGGGAACTGCGGGACTGATACGCGAGTCTAGAATATGAAGTCAGCAATCTTGGTCCACATTGAGATGATTCTTTGAACTTTTTACCTTCTCCGGGATCCAGTGTCCCGCAACAGCACTGCCGCCCTCGGGAACTTCTCTCCAAACTCCAACAGGAACTGGGGGGTACCACCGCAGTGCCTCATTGAGAACAGCTGTCATGTACGGCAACGCAGAAAGTCTCTGAATGTCCAAATCGTCTTCAGAGTCCACTTCTCGAATTTCGCTCACAAGACGAGCCAGCTTGTCGGGGTACTGGAGGAGCAAGTATGTAACGCCACTGAGAATTGTTGCTGTGGTCTCGGATCCAGCGACCATGAAAACAGACGCGTTGTTGTACATGTCAAACTTGTCAATCTGCTTGCCTTCGGGCTGACTGAGAACCAACTTCCAGATATCGGCCTGGTCGGTGTCCCTTTCGAGCCTGCGATCGACTCGTTCAATGGCATGCCTGAAGTGCATGTCGGCGGCCTTCTTGAGTTTCGGTGGTGTGACTAACTGGACGATGTTGCCCAGCCATGACCACTCGCGACCGACTTGAGCGATGGCATTGTTCTTGAGGTTGTCGAAGATGTTTGCGACCCATTCTGAGTATTCCAAATTGGCGAGAAGGCCAAGCGATTCTCCAAACGCCAGCTCAGCCATGATGTCAAACGTCGTCAGGTTGTACAGCTTCACCATATCGAACTTGGCGTCTGAGTCTGTCTGTATGCTACGGCGGATGTTTCCCATGAGCTGGTTGACGTATGACAAAATCAGAGGTGCCTGAGCCTTGGGGCTTCTTTCCGAAAACGCTGGCGAAAAGACTCTTCGGAGGCGGCTATGATCGGAATCGGGCAATGTCGTAATCAGATTACGGTGGCCATTGGGATCGCTTCCGTACATGCGCGGGTCTTTGGGGAAGCTTTTCTTGCCTCCCGTCTTGTGGGCGTAGATGTCCTTCCAAGCCTGGCCGTTTATGATGCTAAGTCTGGAGGCCCCAATGCGTACAACATCGCCGTACTGGGCGTGTAGAGAGCTGAGCCAGGGGAGCATTGCCCCTTTTGTCTGCACCGCCATGTATGGTATGTTCGAACAGCGGGTATAAAGCGGCCCGGGGAATTTGGCTAGAGGATGAAAATATGCATTGTACATGAACCCGACGACGAAATAAACTGGAATCTATCACAAGCGAGTTCAGTCGTCATTTAAAAATTGTGAATCTCATGATATGAGTTAGCAATAATCGACTTACGAGAACCAATGCTGCAACAAACACCTGCGCTCGACTTATTTGTGCTAAGCTCTGCAACACCCTGGCCGAGAAGGTCGGCCAGCTGGCCAGAATATTGGTCGTATCAATTGCCATCTTTCCTGATTGCGATGAGCTGTGTTCAAACTCACATGAAAGTGCAAACCGCCTATTACTTATATCTACATTCCGCGTTCTATAGCATGGCCCTCTCATTAGCAGGCTAGCAGCCAAATATCGGCCACTAGGAGAGTAGCAAAACTCCGTGACAAAGCTCTCTGCAAGGAACAAAACTCCGCTGGGTAGTAATTTCAGTTTTCCAACCCCGAGGGTCAACACCCCAAAGGGCATTGGCAAAGGAATGCATGAGCCGGCCGTCGGATCACCAATGCCCCACTACTCTCCGGGTGGAGTTCGGAGCGGACTGAAGGGGGGCCCACTTCCGACCAAGCTTCGGAACAACTTTCCCGGCGAACCGGAAAAATATTCACTTCCGCGTGTCCGCAAAGCATTCCCCCTCGCGCAAGTGGTACCCTTTTTGGCCCTAAATATGGGCCTTACCATTCGCATTGTTCTCAGCTAGCTCTCGGTGCATGGTCGCTCTCGCATCCATTCAGTTGCAGCTGGTGAAATGTACACTCAAAGTAGCAGGGGCCCAAAACCATGCACTCAGCAAGTGCTCAGGTGTGCCAGGAAGTGATTAGCTTCTAGTGGACATTGGCCAAGTTTCCATTTATACCATGACATCTATCTATCTGTACATGCTGCCGATCGCTTCGAAGGACCGAAAATACAATCTCTACCCACTCAGACATCTTCAAGAGTCTCATAGAGCCGCTGGGAATACCGAATCTCCCGGCTGGTCTTCGCTCTCCCTCCCAGTCATGGTCTCCAAGAAGGACCATGCGGAAGTTTCAAGATTCGGAAAATGCCCCCGACCAACACCGATGTATGAAAATGGTGGCACTCCTTCAGCCTCTAATGCCTGTGCCCACATCTGCGTGTTGACTGGAGTTGTTTCTTGAGGATTCAGCGAGCCCAGAGGATTTTGTCCATCTTGGACAACATTTTCAACCCGAGCTCGTAACTTAACGATGTATTCCGGGGACTCTCCCGGAAAACCAGATCTCGTGAGCAGATCCAATCTCTTCGACCAAGCCCGCAGTACGAAATGTGCCAGAGTCGCGCAGCATTTCTCTGTAACGTTGAATAACCTGGGCCGGTATCGGTAGAATATTTCAATCTTTTCCCAGGCACGTTGTGCGATGGGCCCTTCAAGCCTTTGTCCTAAAAGCACTACGACGTAGAGTAATACATCGTACTGAAAGTTGAAATCAGCGAACCAGAGAAAGCCTGTGTCTTCTGAAGAAGAGTAAAGGAACGCCGTATGCTCAAGCATTGAAACAGCCCACATGAATGCATTGTCCTCTCCGCTCTGAAACACAGCGTCAGGTCTAGGTCCATCGCTAATGCTCTTAATCAAGTGTCGTTTCTGTACAAGAAGAGCCGATATGAGCCCTTGAGCCATGACGTGGACTTGTCCAGCGTGGGGGTTGCATCGGTTGTCCAGGATGTGCTGAAGGCTCTGTTCCAAAAGCTCGAAATGAGTTAGGTAGTAGCTCATTTGCTGTTCTCTCGTTCCCCCTGCTACCGGAGGAGCACCGCTGGACTCATTCAGCTCGCTCATCATCTTCACCGGCTCGAGGCCGGGTGTGTCAACGAGAAACTTTGTGATTTTGTGTCGGACCAAGCAGAGAATCATCTCCGAGGGGCCATCGCGGTCCGGTGTTGGTTGCGTAGCGGCCGGAAAAATGTCCGCATCGTTCAAGTTGCTCGGCTCCCTTGCATCCCAGTCCCGAGGGAGCAGCGAGTGACCAAAGCCGGAGAACAAGGCGAACTTTGCGTCGAGTGATACCAGTTGCCACCATACCCTGCGCCTCATCTCTGATACAAAGGGCTTGAGGCCAAGCACGTCGCCGTCTCGGTGGAGCCCCATCTTTTGAGCGATTCGTATGACGGTGCCGCTGAAGACCCATGAGCTGTGGCGGTCGTATCGGTCTTGCAAGGAATACTACCAATAATGTCAGCGCATTGCTCCAATTTTTCACGCTGTAGGATCATAGTTACCAAACTTACCAAGTATAGGCAGAGTGACTGGAGAATAACTAGATCGTTAGTCCGCATGAAGTTGAGCTGTCTCATTATTTGGCGGATGCCAGCGGAAAACGACGCTACGGCAGCTTCCTTGGTTTTCTTCAACATAGTCAAGCATTCCTCCTCAGACATGGCAACTACTGCCATTAGAAAGATGGACAGCAGTAGTGCCATGATATTTTCTGGCAGACCTTGAGTCCCATTTGTAGCTTCCACAACATGAGGCTGAAAGCTGTGAACATGAATCACCTTTGTGAAGGGATTAACTCTGTCAAGGAATATCTGCCACAGCTTGAAGACAAGTGCGGCACCTGGCCAAGCGTCAAGGACTGAAGAGCTGGGGGCGTCATCTCCAAGAAGGAGGTCCGTGTTTGGGTCGGAAGGCCTGCTGTCCAGTGGGCTGCTGCGTTCGTTCTCATCTAAATTGATGAGCTCATTCATGGCTCGAAGCTGTAGTAAGGTATGTAATGTCAGTGCCTTGATGTCGAATGACATGCGTGGAGAATGACGTACTTCTTCATTGACCAGCCCTAGGAGGTAGTTATCCATAAAGGCGAGCTTGCCATTTGGATCTTCCACCAGCTTCCCTTCCGGGGTCCATTTAGAGACCGGGGAAGGGTCCGCCGGACTTTGAGACTGCGACGTCTTTGGCGTAGTGGCAGTATTCGGGGAAGCCTTGGAGGCTGCTGCTGAAGCTTGGCCACTCAGGAGTTGCTCACAACGGGCCAGGCGTGCTTTGAGAGCCTGGTTGTAAGGCTTCCTGCCTCGTGGAGGAGCTGGCGTCCCAGGGATGCATTGGCTGGATGACTAGTAGCAGCTCATCAGCCTCAAGTCCTCCCAAGCGCGGAGCAACCGACGGAACACGACATACCCTAATGCAGTTTGCACAAGGAAATACCCGGCTGCACTTGACTTTCCGCTTTTGGCATGCAACACAGGCAATGAGGCGCCGACCGGTACCTGGCTGGTCACTGTCGGGAGACATCGAGTCCGGCCCCGAGGCTCCGGATGGGAAGGTAGCCATGTTTTCCCACGCGAGAGAAGGGCCGAGAATCCCAGCGGGCCCGAAGCAACAGCCGGCGCTGTAAGGGCGAGAGTGGGGGACTATAACACTGGCCGGAAAGGAGATGTGACGTGGAGCTTTGTTGCTTCGTGAGATGGGGAAGGCTGCATATGTCTCGCAGATACGGGAGCGAAAAAAGATGGTGCTGCCTCCTTTTAATTCGCGCCGTACAGAGTTTCTGTCCTTCGGTATCGAAAGTTTGTCCGACGATCCGCAAACCCATGTTTCACTAACTAGCGCTGTGCGTAACTGCTGAGTTGCCCCCGCCTACTCGGGTCTCTTTAGATAGTGTAATGCGAGTGTCGGATTAAAAGTCATAGCTGAAAGACCTAGCGGCAACAAGCTTGCTGCTAGAGCAATTGGACATTTACACATCTTTTTACGACTGATTGCTTCCAAGAAAACGTTGTGTTAAGATGGCAGCAGCCTGGCGGTCGGTTCCAGTGCACAAGGCTGGTCTCCAGTCAAGTTTTTGCCTCAATTCTGTACTAAGAACCATGAGGCAGCACAGGACATTCGCTCTTCACTCAATGTGCCTCCATGAACCTTGGTCTCGACTTCAGCTCACTCAACAGTGTCCCAAACTATGATTCTTTATCATGCCAAATTCGTTGAGAACTATTTTCTTGCCAGCATGCACCTCTAAATGTTGCCGAGAGCCGAGCAGGATTCGGGAAGTGGAATTGTAAACGGAATAAGATACCGAACCACGTCACGTAATATCGCGGAGACGCGGGAGTCCCACCCGAATCACCCGCAATTTTTCTCCGATCATGATTAGCCTATGGTATGAAAGATTACCGTTCTTCAATCTCTGTTATAATTCATGTATCGACGACACCAGAAGGTTACAGTAGCCTGCGTACGTGAGCGGCCCCACATGCTAAGCATTGCTGAGTGGAGCCTCCCGCGGGAGTTCAACGTCATTCTCGAAAAGGACTGGAGCATTCGAGACTTGAGTTTCGCGGGTATAGGAGACCGGCCGCCCCGGATTCACTTTACTACTGTGAGAAGGTAGTGTGTTAAGCTTGATAGTTGTAGTTCACATGACTTTGGCGACCATTCCGACTCGTCAATGGTTTGTAGGTTGTTGTCATCAAGTGCTACTTACTTTAGGTGACTTTAGGTGGACAAGAGTCGTTCATGACGTAGGTGAGCCTCGTTGTTGTGTATCGATGAGCGTCATGATCACATAAGGAAAATACCATATTCTGCCAGTTCGGGTTGATATCGAAGTCCAACACCCTGTAATAGACTTGCTTTACATCTGATCACCTACTACCGTTGTGATCCGTTGTGTTTCTCAATGGTTGGGAGCTAGTCACTGAATATGCTATGTTGGGTCACGACAGCACTTGAAAGTTCCATTGTTCAATTTTGTAAACTCCTAATACCATTGAAAACCTCAGTCTATCCGGGTCATGCTACGGGTCCGCCTCTGTGCGTGACTAAACAGCACTCTCAATTTGCCAGCTAAAGCTCTTCGTCGTCCGGATCGAAATATCTACTTGGTTCGATCGTCAGCGTCCAGACGCATCTTCTTCACACAATGACACATATGCTCAATCTCGTCTTGAATCGGAGCTGGAGTATGAACGTGGTCATCCTGCAGCTTGTCGGCGGACGAAAAGTCCCAATCGGAGCCAAGAATCTTGTTCAACGCATCGTTTGAGAAGCAGCTGCATGACGGATGACAGAAAGAGCAGAGCTTTTTGAAAAATCGATAGTCCTCAATCTTTCCGTAACACTTCGGATCAGCCTGAGAAGCACTTTTACAACTGACGGTGTACTGCTCCAGACGGCTGATCTCCTTGCTGCACTTGGCACAGATACGGAGAAAGAAGGTGGTGGTACACATGATGTCTTTCGTCAAGCTGACTAGTTGGTGTGAAAATGGATGAGCGGACTTACTAGTAAGTTTATCATGTATGGAAGTTGATGTTGTGATGAGAGAGACGTAAATGATGATACTGGTGGCTTACAAAAAAGTCTCATTGGCATCACTCATGTTCCAAGATTGAGATGATATACACACCAATCAACTTTGGAGGCTATTCTGCCTGTTCATTATCTTGGATGTTGTTGCCATGTTCGTTTTTGCGCTTTACGGCCTCGCACTTTGTCGGTGTAAAAGAACAAAGACACTGAGGTACTCATGTCCGAGTATCAAGGTCAAAACATGCAGTGAACAATGGGATTCCGTTGAACATAAAGAACTTTTGATTGAGGGGGTATCAATTCGCAGGCAAAAGCTATGTGCAGCTAGAAAGGAAAGAGTATGTACAGCACTCATGTGGTATCATTTACGTCATGCGAATCAAGCAAAAAGATCCCCTCAATACCCCGGCTTCTCATCTAGCACTCAGCGAAACGCTTAAGAGTACCAGTTGTTGGGGGTCCACTTGACCTGTTGAGGTTGTTAGTGGGCTTTCTTCTAAATTGGAACATTTAGTTTCTGTTTGACTTACGTAGCTGGCGTCAATCTTCTTCAGGTCAGGAACACCGAGGTTGCCGGCGTCGATGGCGATCTCGTGCTTGAGGATCTTGATAGCCTTCTCGACACCCTCCTGGCCGAAGATGTTGGAGAACATGATAGGGCGGCCGAGACCGACAGCCTTAACACCGAGGGAAAGAAGCTTGAGGACATCAGCACCGTAGCGGACACCACCGTCGGCGTAGACCTCGATCTTCTGGAAGATCTCGGGGTCCTTCTCGTAGATCTCAAGGGCAACCTCGAGGGAAGAAGGGGAGCCGTCAAGCTGGCGACCGCCGTGGTTAGAAAGGATAATGGCAGGGACCTTGTTCTCGATGGCGGCCTCGGCGTCCTCGACGGTCATGATACCCTTGATGATAATGGGGAGGTCGGTCATGTTGGACAGCTTGCGGTACTCGTCCCAGGTGATGAGGGAGTAGTCAGAGTCGGCAGAGCCGACAGCAAAGCGAGCAGCGCGGTGGCGGTTACCGTCGGCGGCAGAGTCAACAGTGTAGACGATGCCGTTGGCGCCGGAGGCCTTGATGCGGTCGAAGAGGACCTGGGTGGCGGTGTCGTTGGTGGTGAGGTACACCTGCTGGAAGGCGACCTGACCCTCGGCCTTGACCTCGGCGATCTGCTCAATGGTCTTGGCGGCGTACAGGGCAGGCATATAGAGGATGTTCTCCGCGGCAGCAGCCCTCATCAGGTTGAGCTCAGCATCAGCGTGAGCGTAATCAGCACGGGCAGCAGGGCTGATGAAGATGGGAGCAGAGAAGTTGTGTCCCAGGATGGTGGTGCTGCGCGAGTCAGCGATCTGCAAGAATACCAAGAACCCGACCAAGGGGGGTTCGTCTGAATAGGAAGCTAGAAGCTCGGACTTACTTGAGGGTAGACTCAATGTTGGTGATGTCAACCATGGTGCGAGGGCGGAGGCGGTAACGGCCGAAGACCTCGAGGTTGTTGCGGTAAGACCATTCACCGGCGGCACCGTTGCGGTAGTAGGTGTAGTTCTTGATGGGGAGGTAGTTGCGAGCGGCGTACTCGAAGTCGGGAAGGCCAACCATCTGGGTGAGGTTGGGCAGAGCACCGACAGCGAGGTCGCCGAGGGCAAGCTCAATACCGGTATCCGGCTCATTGAGGAACGGGCGGGTGGCGGCGGCGCCGGCCGCGAGGGCGGAGATGAAAGCAGCACGCATGTTTGTCAGATAATGAGCGAATGTAAGTGAGTGATGACTGTGAGCACGTGTGTGATGAATCTCAACATCGGATCACCAGCAAAGGGGACGGTCCTAAGAGTCTTATTTATCATGGCCACGACAATACAACCAGACGTCAACTTTTTTCTCTCTAAGCTCCCCCCTCCCCTATACTGCCAGGTTCTTGGCATCGCTCCGAGCCTCCTTGCTCATATCCGCATTCGGTTCGACGAGCGGGCCAAGCGGTTGCTACCCAAAGTCTACATGTTTAGAGGTATTATTTCCAAGGTGGTCCATGACGTGCGCCATGGGTGTCGTTGAGCACCAGGAGACATCCGCAGGGACGGGGACGGCGGCCCCGTTTTCCAATGTTGAGATACCAGTGGGAGCTTTTCTCTGAGTCTCTGCGCATGATGCCCCCCGATGCTGAGGAATGGGCTGCATCCAGGGAAGGTCGGTCTTGGCGAACGGGCTGTCTTGATTCTTTCGGACAAGTCGGGTGGCACTCTGTAGTCCCAGGAAACTTGGACAGGCGGGTCTAGAGGAAAATCCAGGCCCCAAATCCGGAAGCTTGACTTGGACCTGTCATGAGAGAATGACGGTGGGATAGCAACGATGGTTCAAACTCAGATAGACGATGTCGACCCGCTGCCAAGCTTAATGGTGCTGCAATGCCTCCCTGATCCGGGGAGAAGCCCGTTATCAGATCTTGTAGGGTGGACCAGCGAATGCCGTTAACGACCCAAGAACTGACGTATCAAGTTGATGGAAGACTGACGGGATGGAGCTAGTTTCACGTTTTTTTCCTTCTCTTCTTCTGCCTTCCTGTCTGTGCTCCCCCTCGGTTCCCCTCTACAGGCTCCAGAAAAAGGTCAGCCACTGGCAGTTGGCTGGCAAGGATAGGGCGGGTAACTGACTCGCCCTGGAAGGAGATTTGGTAGCTTAATAAGGCGCTACTATGGCTGAATAATAACGGAGCCAAGTTAATGAGCCAAGTCGTCGCATGGGGGTGGGCGATGCTCCTAGCCAGCACATGACACCAGCCCAGCCAGCGGGATGGGGCTTGGACAAGCGCGCGGGTGGTGACAGCGTGAATGGGGACTACAACGCTCTCGGGAAGCGAAGGTCCCAGAGGTCTGGATTGCAATTGTTGGCCCGGTCCTGGGAGGATCCCACGTCACGGACAGACTCCTGTCCCCGATTGAGGGACATTTGGGGGCTTTTACACTTACAGAAGTTCGGTCGACTTCCGACCTTCAGGCATCGTGAGGATTAGGAAGTTCAAAAAAATTTGGGAACATGATGGTTCCTAGCTTCCCTCATTTCCATCCGATGTTAAGTCGCCCACGTGTCTTTGGAAATTCCTGAGTGTTAGTCCCGGGTTCCTGGTGCACTGAGCTCTACAAAGTACGGGCATTACATTTCCCTCTGATCTCCCTTAATTGTTTGTTTGTTGTTTGCGGTTGAGAGCGCATTATGCTTGAATCGTCCGGTGTCTGGAAAACATTTGCTGGCTTTCTTCTTCAGAAACAGGGATAGGGATAGGCCTCCCGCCAAAGACAAAAAGGGAGGTCGCATCTCCCGTCACATTCCAATGCTACCTACCACATTTGCACATGACGTACCCTGGAAGCGAGATTTTGTTCAATAGCTTCCTTCGGTTCATTCCCTTTTCTTTTCCATTCTCGAACTGGGTCTGGTCCGAAGTTGAGAAGGAGTTGTGAAGAAAATTTTGACCCTCAAAATGCTCGACTGGATTCCACTAGAAAATAGTTCCCGCAGTTTCCATCGCGAAAATTTCCGATCCCTCGACCAGGGTCCTATTCAGGCGTTGACAATGTCGAGTAGCAGCATCCGTCCCTCGGACTTATGACCGGCCGTACTCACGAAATGTCGGATCCGTGTGGGAGCCCCTCGACCTTCCGGAAACAGTTTGCTGCCGGTGGTGGCAACCGAACACGACGCAGGCCGTGGCGGAGCCGTAAGGCGTTGAAAAGAGAGTCAGTCTCTCATCACGACTGTATTCGGATGCCACGTCCTGCGGAGAGAAAAATCGCCGCGCTTCGCCAAGGACTCTTGGACTCCGTGAAAGCCGTCAATTGCAACGGTGAGGCAGCCGATGACAGTGCATTCTCGGTCTTGGTAACCGATAACGAGCACAGACGATGGCCCATAGCCCCATGCAGCTCCTCCGTCTATCGATAACTGAGCTATGGTCCGTGGGGGTAACTGCTCAAGGAGAGACGTCTTGCGATGCTATTCATCTCAATGGAAACCTGAAGGGAATGGAGCCTGGCTCCGTTCGTGACTGACTTGTGGGCACCGGCTGCTGGTTCGTTTGAAAAGTTTTGCGGATCCGCGCCGTAAAAACCCAAGTTGCGAGGATCACTCTGTTCTCTTCTGCTACAGTCTACAGACCGACTTTCTGCATGTTAATTTGTGACCTGTTCCTCAATACCCTTTTTTTCCAGACTACAGCGATATCTCGAGCAAGCACTTCGCCTCGGCTCTGCATACTGTCACCATTACTTCTACCGATTTGGAATTAATTGCCTACGATCCTTCCCATACTCAATCCTTTCCGTAGCTTTTCGGGATTTTCACGATATATTGCTCAAACCCATGTTGCATGCGTCATGCGCCGCAACCTCATCAGGCCTATGAAGCAGGTTTCTAAAAGGTGGGAGTGCGTCGGAACCAACAAATTCTCCTGATCAAGACGATCGGAAGGCTCGCGAATGCAGGAACCACCACGGGAGCTTCACTTGATCATCCGGATTCTTTCTCCCGCTCGGGACCTTGTTAAGTGCCCGCATCAAATACCGGCGCTGCATGGGGAGCCTGAACTGCATTCAATTCTTTAAGCACCTCGACTGCAGCATTTCATAGTCCGACTTCGGCGCACAACCTGAATCCATTCCCAAGTCCGAACTCAAGGCGTTAATAACATTTTGCGAGCCGAACGATCTCGGACAACAACCGATCGTCCGAACAGCCTCCTCCCGCTCATCGTGGTGTTGACCAAAATTGTGGATGAACACATTCTTGTCGGACATGAGCCGGGCCTGATAGTGGACCGCAGGCTTCTTTGCCTGCGATAGTAAGGTGTCCGTACGGTGTATTTTCGTCGCAAAAGACCCAGATTGCCACCAACTCGCCGACTCCTCACCGACCGGGACGCACCCGCTCCCTCCGCTGAACGAATGCGGCAACCCGTTTGTTGATAACGGATTCCTCTTTCTGAAGAAGGTAGGTGAATCTCGTCAGCACGGATTTTGCAATGGTCCAGAATTCAATGCCTGCTCTGCACCTTGCTTGCCTTGCGCGCCTTCATCAAATGGCCAAACCGCATGTGTGGGCAAGGTGGGATTTTCGTGTCCACACCAATGAAACCTGCAAGGGTTGCTAGATATTGATCTGCAATCTGGCCCAGGAACCCGACCACTCAAAAGTCTACATGTCTCCAGTTTTTAACATGCTCGGTCAGGGCAGCTCCGGGGTAGGATTTCTTTTTAGAGGCCCCCCAGGAGCGCTGCACCAGCACCTTCCAGAAGGTTAATTCGGCCCTGTGATTTAACTGTAACTAAATCCTTATTCTTGGTTGTAGCGATGGCACTCTGCAATCGTCCTTGCACAGGTTTCATCCAGCCCTGGCGACTCTCACTGCTTGGCGAGATGAACAGCTGAGAATAGGGCGGGCAGCGTCGCAGATTGAAATGAAATTTTGGCAAGTTTTGCCTATTCTTAGCCAATGAGTTCGGTTGCAGAGGCCTAAACAACCCGACGTGACCGATATAAACAGGAGTGAAGTCTATTCATGTTGCCTATTTCTAGAATTAACACGAACTCATCATGCGAATTATTTCAATGTCTCAAGGGCTTGACGCAGGGTGAAATCCTTCATACCTTATTGACTGAATCCTGACGAATAGACCCGTGGATCGTACCTTTTAGGTAGAGCTATGCATTGCGTAAAATTATGTTACCACTCAGTGAGTTATGTCTGAGACCCACCAGACCATGATGTTGAGAGCATCGTCACCTGGCTGCAAAGATCGAGGCCTCTTGAGCCAAATACCACCATACGCCGATGCTAGTACTTGTAGAATATCTCAGCTTGAGGTGCGGAAAGAGTCATCTTGTGGACCCGCCGTCATCTCTGTCCTCTGACGGCGGCACTACTAGTAACATCACCAAGTGTCCCAAGTCCCTATTAGGGGATTGGAAAGCATGTTTCTTGAGTCTCATTTTCCAGTTCAGTATCAGAGTATCAGAAACGTGACGAATGTTTCGCTGTATGGTGTTGTTGCTGGCATAATCGTTTTTGCGATTATGCTCGACCCAAAAGACATGATGAGGACTTGTCATGTCCTCACATCGTGAGAATAAAAGCGCGAGATTCTCTCGCCAATTGGGATGGGTCAATTTTGCACTACGATGCTTGTCAGCGAAGAAACATGAAGTCTCGGTTGGCCTTCTCTCCTGACTAGAGTCAGCCGATGTGATTCGGTAGGTTCTTGATGATGCGACGAGGACAATCTACGGTGAAGTGAGTTTGCGCCGGTAAAGCAACCGGGATGATCAAGCTGACGAGGGTGTGCTATCCCTTAGTTCTGAAGATGATGAGAGTATCACGTTCCTGAGACTTTGGTCGTTAATGGTTTCGGGCTTCTCTTGAAAATCACCCACAACCCAAAAATTGCTCAATATCCATGATGCGGATCTCAGAATTGCGTTCGGCAACGGGTAGTACCCTTCAAGAGATATTTCTCACTTGTCACCCCTCACGTAAGATAAAGAAATTAAAGCCATTCGAGCACAGATTTCCTGCAAAGGCCTTTTTGGCGAAGACCCCGAGTTTTGGGAGGGTTTGACACGGAATCAGGGTTTAGGACATGCCGAAGTCCTCCTCCTTAGCTTGTTGATCCATGTGCGAGAGCTTGCTCTGCCAGCTAATTGGCGTCAATTTGGGCTATGAGGAGAAGATCCAAGCGGACATGGAAACTATCTTTATACTTGGCAATTGCTTCATCATATTGTGTTTCGTGTTAACGAACGAGACGCAAAAGATGCGACATTCTCGAACCTCAAAACTCTTCGACCATTTGCTGGCGCCGGTTGGAGATGTAGGCATGCAATGGCAATCAATTCTCTTCGAGAAGCCTACATCGGAGGCTGTATTGCCACTGACGATGGGGATAAGGGCATACCCTTCTCACCAGAGTACTCGGACTACAGCCCACGTCTAGAAGAGCTGGAGTTAGTGGGCTGCACAATTGGGCGAGGGAAATCCTCAACCTGAAAGCTTTACGTAACGCACACGAGAGGAAATGGAACAATTTATTTATACTTATTCTTCGACCTAGAACAGGCTCTCAGCAACATCATGGAGTACAGCGGCAAGACACTGAAAGAGCTTTCAGTGCACACCATGACGCAAATGGGAGTAATAGAGAGTACCCTCACCGACATGAAGGGCTTCAAGCGCCTTAAATACCTCGCGACTGATGCCACCATGTTCATGGGGACAGAGTTTCGCAGAGTTATCATTAAAGAGGAGTTCCCTTTCCAACCGCTCAGCGTGCCGCTCAACGAACTAGCTGCACCACGGTTTGTGGACATGCTTCCTCCATCGATCAAATCTATTCGGATTTTGGCGGAGCTCTGGGACTGTAACGAATCAAGACCTAGGGTATAAAATGCCATGGAGTTTTATTTGATGGTACAAAAAGGCTTCATGAATAAAGGCCACCAGAATTGAGGAAGATCGTTTTTTCAGCCCTGGGGAACAATATGAATGATAACTTCTTGGACAAGTACGATGCGAAGTGGACCACAATCTCTTTACAAGATGGACCGGACCTCCAGCCAGACTTCGTCCACGATTTCCAAGAGCGATTCGGTGTCCTTACTGAAGGCTATGTCGATTCCGAAGAAAAGGATGATCAAGATGGCAGCGGCCAGGTCGAGGACAGCGAATCAGAGGAAGAAGAAGACATTGAATCAGAGGATGATGTATAGGTAGAACTTGAATAAAGGGGTAGTCGAAAAAAGAGTACGCATCGGAATGCTTTAGGCGCAAAAACCACACCGTCTCGAAGCCTCGTGGGAGACCGACGAGCAATCTTGAGCAACGACCTGCCCACAACAGTGGCATCGGTGATCCTCATACACCCGAATACTCGCACCTGTATGTTTCACCACTTCAGCTGATGAAATTCGTGAAGTGTAAAGCTCCGATCGGGATAATGTACGCCGAGAAAGCAACCTGTGGACAATTGCTTGGTCGTTCTCTTCCCCACATTTCCAACGGCTCAGCGGCTGTGGATGGAAGCGGGCTGCACCCCAGAATAAGCAAGAGGGGCACTGCATTAGTCCCTTGATCAGGTGAACGAGCATGTTGGAATTAGGACGTCCGCAGATACGCGTATTCGTTCTGTCACAGCTTGCTACAAGCAAACATGTTTCAATGTATTGCAGATACTTGCTTTGTCCACACTCCTGGAACGAAGCCTACCTACAAGTGCCGAGATTCGTGCAAGTACAGAGGGGTGTACCCCACATCATGCCAACTTCATCTTGTGAGGAGCTTCAAGTCCCAGACGCCAGATTGGTCCATGAACCCGGCTGTGAGCTCTTTGGTCGTCAGTGGTAAGCTACCGTCAGATACTACTTGATTGTTACCCAGGTACGTCAGGTCACACGAAGCGGCCCGATCTCGTTATTATTTACACCGAGGAGACTGCCCACTATTCTTCACTCCACCATCTTGCGAATGCAAGTTTTGTGCCCAGGTCTGCCTCCATCAAGCTCAATCATTGGGTTTTGTCCTGGCATTAGTCTACTTAAATCGCGATGAAAAGCTTTTCCGTAATCTGTCGGTTTAGGGGCTGTACAAGACAACACGATTTCCAATCTTTACTGAAGCTATTCTCAGAATGACCACGCTACGCCATGTAGTCGGCTTTTTTGCCTTACTTCTCACTGGTTGCCAACCCATCCGAGCTTCAAACTGCACACGATCCCCAGATCACTTCCTCAACCCACCATCCCGGGAGCGCCCAAAGTTCAGATACTGGCTTCCGGACGCCAGTGTAGACGCCGAGACTGTGGAAGCAGACATCAAAGCAGCTGGTGATATTGGAGCTGGGGGAGTAGAGTTCTTGCCGTTCTACAACTATGGAGGAGACCTCGGGCCCCCTCCAATTGGGGTCAATTGGTCCAACTACGGCTTTGGTACACCTGCTCATCTCGGTCTCTTCACATCGGCTTTGAAGGCCCATAAGCAGGCGGGATTGATCATGGACTTTTCACTTGGGCCGAATCAGGGACAAGGCATTCCGGCTCACTCTGCCGATGAGGGATTGCAATGGGACTTGGTAGGTACATGCAAATCTTCCACAGCTTTCGGCTATGAAAATAGCTGAGTCCATGTTACTGAACTCCCTACACAGGTTTCCTTTAGCCAAGCTATTTCCAATCGCGGCGTTCTCGACAAAACGATTCCAGGCTGGGGAGACGGAGAGCTAGTTGCTGCCGTGTCCGCTATCGTGGTATCTCGAGCGAACGTTTCTTACAATATCACTGGGATCACCGGCGCGACGACTGTGTCTTACGAGGATCTCATCTTGCAGGATGGATCTCTCACAGACATTACCTCCAGTGTTTCCAGGGATGGCATATTGTCCTGGAAGCCCACTGGTAATTTGACCAGTGGATCTGACTACGAGCTGTTCTTTTTCTACGAGAAGTTGTCTCATAACCAGAACGTCCACTTCTTATCAAATACAACGGAGACTATCTGGGACAATGGCTCGTATGTCGTGGACCACTTCAGCGCCCGAGGAGCTCAGACAGTGCAGGCCTTCTGGGAGCAACATCTGCTTACTGACGAGCTGAAAGGACTTTTGCGAGACGTTGGAAATCATGGTATGATGTCTTCTGAACGTAGTGGCAGCCTTGCCAGCTAACTTTGGCCTGACTCTAGGCTGGGAGGATAGCATCGAGATCCATTCGAATGTTTCGTGGACTCGCTCGCTTCCAACGCGATTCGAAGGGATGTTCGCATACGACCTGAAACCATACATACCTCTCATCATGTTCGGCAACAACAACATCAATCTCCAGAACACCTCCCCAGGAAATACGCGCTGTACTTTGGACCGACCGGACCAGGGACAAGGTTATGTCAACGACTATCGTGAGGCTTTGGCAGCGGGGTATCAAGAGTACCTCACCACACTTTCACAGTGGCTTCAGAGTCTGGGAGTCAAGGGACTTTCATCCCAGCCATCTTACAACCTACCCATGGACATGGAGGCTTCGATCCCATTTGTCGACGCTCCGGAGTGTGAAAGCCTTCAGGGGCACGACAACATCGATGGGTATCGGCAATTCTCTGGTCCAGCAAACCTCGCGCGGAAAGAGATCATCTCCATCGAACTTGGCGCGGTTTTCGGAAGAGCGTATAGCTACACTATCCCAGAACTTCTCTTTGCCGCAAACCGAGCTGCTGCAGGCGGTGTGAACCAATTTGTCATTCATGGGCAGTCATACACCGGCAACTACCCCCAAACAACATGGCCGGGATACACAGCATTCATCTTCTATGTCTCAGATCTCTATTCGTCTAAAAGACCAGACTGGAATCATGGCCTTCAGGCAGCCTTGGACTACATGTCGAGATTACAGCATATCCAGCAACAAGGTGTTCCACGTACCGATATCGCATTCCATAACAAACAATCTGTTACTGATCCAAATTTTGGAACGGTGTACGCGCCAACAGATTTGATTGATGAAGGTTTGTGATATCATAGTTCGAATTGGGTCATGGTCGGCCACTAACAACGCTTAGGTTGGTCTTACACGTACTTGTCACCGGAAAACTTTGAAATGCGTAATGCATATGTTGAACACGGTATCCTTGCACCCCAAGACGCAGCATATCAAGCCATGGTCATTCTAGGATCCCAGAACTTGACACAGCTCTCAATCTCTAAGCTGGAGAGCTTCGTGGAAGCTGGGTTGCCTGTCATCGTGGTCGGCTCAGTTCCCGGGCTGTACCCTTCAGAGACGCATGTCACCAGTCATACTTCTTCAAACAGTGTGTTGATGAAGCTTATGAACAACACGAACGTATATCATGTTGCAGAGGGCGAGATCTCTCAGAAGCTGAACGACTTGAATCTCAAGCCGCGAGTTGGGGTGAGAACCAACGGCACGTGGTATTCCACGTGGAGAGAAGACAAGGAAAGTGGCATGGCCTACGCGTACATATTTGGCGATGTAGTCGCAGCGACTGGAGAGGTGGTAGTCCAGTCAAAGGGAATTCCCTACTTCTTCGATCTCTGGACGGGAGCGCGATATCCGGTTCTCAACTACCAGACCAACGGATCTACAACAACTATTCCACTTGAACTCGCAGGAAATCAAACACAGATTATCGCGTTCGCTTCTAAAGCAATGCGAGGCACTACGACTCCAGCCATTCATGCTACAGAGTTTTCATCGAACATTGTCGGCTACGCCCCACGGGATGATGGGTTTGAAATGCATATTGCTGCGTCTTCAGATCCAGCAGTCGTTAGATTGTCGACCGGCACCGAAACCACGCATGCCAGCCAAGCCCCCGAATCCTTCGATTTGGGACTGTGGACCCTGGTTCTTGAGCATTGGGAAGCTCCAGAAAACTTCAGCGATGCAAGCATCACAGCTGTCAAGAGTAATACGACTCACCAAATCGACAAGCTAGTCTCATGGAGTGATATTCCCTCCGCAACGAACACATCTGGAGTTGGCTACTACCACACAAACTTCACCTGGCCGCCGGCGTTGACTACCGCCAGCGCCAACGGCACGGCTTTTGGTGCCTATATCAAGTTCCCTCCTGTGTTGGATGCAATCACGGTTCATGTCAATGGCGCCAGATTGCCTCCTCTGGACTTGACCAACCCTATTGCTGATGCCACGCCGTACCTGGTGAAAGGAAACAACCAGGTCCTCGCCGTTGTCCCGGGTACGATGTGGAACTACCTTCGCAGTATTTTACCTGGGATTAGGAGCTCTGGCCGGGAGTTTTCGTCAATGACAGCTCTACCCAAGACCGACAATGGATTGGTTGGTATCGTCACGGTTGTTCCTTTTGAGATCTTCCATCTGAAAGCTCAGGACAGCCAGAGAAATTGAGGACCTGTCAAGTCAGGAAGAAGCTCGGAACTAAAGAGTGTAGATTATGCCACCAGGCTTCATGAACACTGTACATGGTCACATCACACAGATTGTCTTCGATTACCAGTGTTTCCACACTGTTCCAGACCGTGAATACGCATTGCGTGGTGCGGATGAAGACCACAGCCTCTCCTGGGCTCATAACTGAGGTAGTCATAGCAGTCACTGCAGACCAGTCACCATCCTTTCCTCGCCATATCCTAGTTATGCGCCAAGTGTCACTAGAATACCGCTGGCCATCTTTGATGCTTAACGGGTATCTGCTTACGGGCAAGGATCATAGGAATATAACTCACAGTATCGAAAACCGTACCACACTTATAGAGCCTTAAGAACTTTTAGGCATTCGGCCCAGTGAACCTACGATGAGCACGGTGTTAGGGGTGCATTTGTTACGAGGAAGTCACCGTATTCCATCTCGATACGTGGATTCTACCCCGCATCTTCATCCCAGCCAACCACAATGCCAGCTGTACGCGTGATGGACTAAGACGTCAATCAACCCAGCCACGATGTCCAGGCGTGATTGAAGCAGCTTGCTACCTGGTTCGATTTTATAGCGATTTATGACGTAGCGATCTGTGACGAACTTTCGGGAGATTGAGAATCCAGGAAGATTTCGGCACGACTCTGTAATTTCCAGGTCAGAAGCGGGGCAGATTAAACCTGCCGGGCCGCTTAAGTGAGGATGGTCACAAGAAGTCGAGAGAGGGCCAAGGTATTAGCCAAGTCCGGCAAGTTACGCCATGTTATTTACATAAGTTCGCATCCCCGAAACGACCATGCAATTGGAATAATCGTCTCCTAAACATTGAGGGTATCGTTTTCTTCTTCGCACGGGTGCATATGCAGGTCCTCGTAATCCCATTCTATGCTACGCTGGTCCTGGGACTGGAACTTTGTAGATGTAGCTTCGCCTCCAATCGTACGAATACGCGTATGATGTGTCGACATTTACATCCCCAACACTTCAATTCCGCTCTCTTGTACTTGGTGGACATCTCAAATTGACGTAGAGGACGTGGCAGGTCTGCTGGCAAGGTCGCACCTTGCCTGAGGCTTGCCTCAGAAACCAGACCTCTCTGAATCAGGGAAATTGTTACAATGTAGCCTACTACGCCATATCCGCTCCTATACGAGCAGAGTAGGTCGCATCAGAAAGGATGTCGTGCTCAGGGACCGCAATGAGCTCGGCCAGTTGGGTATTGATATGAACATCATAGGAAAAGAAGCACTTTATCATACCCCGCAATATCTAAAGCGAAAGCGAGAATGCATGTCGAGCGTTTTGGACAAGCCGGCGCAGCTTTATAATGGAGCTGAAAATTCATGTCAAAATTGATTGCTATCAAGTAAACTATCAAGTAAACATGTCAATGTTGTTGACAGAAACTCAAAGAAACCAGACATATAAACCGTATCCCATTCTCATTTAATCTCATTTCGTCCATACGAGGGCACCAAATTTATTTCCAATTGAGAAGTCAAGATGAAGTTACCTTTTTTCTTGGCTGTTGCTAGCCTCTTCTTTCTATCCCCCACAGATGCTGTTCTCAGCAAATCCCATGTCAGATCCACCAATGTCACTCAAGATTTAGTCAGATGGGATGAACACTCACTCTGTATCCGAGGGGAGCGTATCGTTGTTTTGTCGGGCGAGTTTCACCCATGGCGTATCCCTTCGCCAGGGCTCTGGTTAGACGTGCTTCAGAAAATCAAGGCACTGGGTTACAACGCAGTCTCATTCTACGTCAACTGGGCCTTGCTTGAGGGCAAGCCAGGCGAGGTACGCATGGACAATGTGTTTGATCTTCAACCTTTCATCGAAGCCGCCGTTGAGGCTGGATTATATCTCATCGCACGACCTGGTCCTTATATCAACTCTGAGCTCTCTGGGGGCGGTTTCCCCGGCTGGTTACAGCGCAACAAAGGCGAACTGAGATCAATGGCCCCGGACTATACCAACGCAACTGAGAACTACATTTCAAGCGTCCTTCGCGTCATCTCCGCAGCCCAGATCACCAAGGGCGGACCCATCATCCTTGTTCAGCCGGAAAACGAGTACAGTCTAGCGGTCGGAACTGCCAACCCGGTTGAGTCAACCAGGCTCCTGGACCCAAATTACATGGAGTTCATGGAAGACCAATTTCGACGAAATGGTATCGAAGTTCCTTTGATTGGAAATGACGCCGTGCCTCTTGGAAACTGGGCTCCTGGATCAGGCAAAGGGGAGTTGGACATTTACGCGCATGATGCTTACCCTTTCTACAAAGGATGTAAGTTTTCCAAGGACCGCTTCAGTCATGTCTGCTGATTTTAGACTTAGGCGATCACCCCACGGACTGGACGGATCTCACTGCTTTGAGTCTGACATATACATATCGAAACCATCTGCAGCAGAGCCCAAGCAGCCCCTATGCCGTACTGGAGTATCAGGGAGGTGCACCCGATCCTTGGTAGGTTCATGCTATACCGCAGTCCCCCTCGTCGATATCTGTGCTGATTGATCAAAGGGGAGGTGTTGGCCTGGATAAGTGTGCAGCAAAGATCAACCAGGACTTCACCCGTGTCTTCGTGAAAGAGCTTGTGTCGCGCTCTATCAAGATACTCAATCTCTACATGGTATGCTTTTCCTCATTATGTCTCAGCTGGTCGCTAACTTGGCGGATAGACGTACGGCGGGACAAACTGGGGGAACATGGGACACTCAGAGGGCTACACTTCCTACGATCATGGTGCTTCTATCAGGGAGAACCGTGGAATCGACCGGGAAAAGTATAGTGAAGCCAAGATCGAAGCTCATTTCCTGCGTGTTTCCGAGGCCTATCTCACAGCCATCCCCCAAAATGCCACATCTACCGAGTTCGTTAGCACACCAGAACTCCGAGTCGTTCCCATCGTCGGGGACAAGACTCGTTTCTACGTTGTGCGCCATACAGATTACACCTCACTCAACCGCACTTCCTACAGACTCAATTTGCCGACATCTGCCGGCAACATCTCCGTCCCCTTGCTGGGCGGTGATCTTTCGCTACATGGGCGAGACTCTAAGATCCACATCACAGATCATGATGTAGGTGGCACCAGCTTGATCTACTCGTCAGCGGAAATATTCACCTGGAAAACTTACGGAAACAAGACACTGCTCATCTTGTACGGGGGCGGGGGCGAAGAGCACGAGTTCGCTGTGCCATCCTCGTTAGGAAAGCCGCAATTCGAAGGCAGCAATGCGACGACACGTACTTACGGCAGCTTCAGAGCTGTTCACTGGCTAGTCCAAGAAAGGAGACAGGTTGTGCATTTCGAAACCCTCGAGATTCACCTCCTGTGGCGCAATGACGCCTACCGCCATTGGATCCTTGATCTTCCCGATGCTGACAATGGATTGATCCAGCCCACTCTGGGGAAGTCGTCAATCGTCGCCAAGGGGCCTTATCTTCTGCGGAATGCAACTTTTGCCGATGGTGTGCTTCATTTGGCGGGAGACATCAATGCTACTACAACTCTTGAAATCCTAGGCGGGGTCCCTCCGAACAGCGGGCTTAGCTTCAATGGCCGCTCCCTTTCGAATGCCCAATGGAAGAACGGCAGGCTCCAAGCTGAGCTCGTCTTTGAAAGTCCGACACTTAACCTGCCGGTCTTTTCCGAACTGAAGTGGCATTCAATCGATTCACTCCCAGAGGTCTCTGAGAGCTACGACGATTCCGCCTGGACCAAAGCAACGCTAGAGCAAAGTAACAATCCTCGCAATTTGACGACACCAACATCGCTCTACTGCAGTGACTACGGCTTCCACGGCGGCTCACTTATCTACCGAGGCCACTTCACTGCGACCGGCAATGAATCCTTCTTCAACGTGACGACAGCAGGCGGCTTTGCTTACAGCCACTCTGTCTGGGTTAACGAGACCTTCCTCGGATCCTTTCCTGGAGATCCTCACACTGCCAACTCAACGCAAGTCTTTGATCTTACTGGTCTCAAACTCGAGGGCCCTTCAGTTTTCACTGTTGTCATTGACCATATGGGCATGAGCATGAACTTCTGGGCACGGTCCGACTGGATGAAGCTCCCACGCGGTATCGTTGACTTTTCGCTTGGTGGTCATCAGCAGTCGGACGTGAGTTGGAAGCTTACCGGTAACCTGGGAGCTGAAGACTACATTGACAAGACGCGTGGTCCTCTGAACGAGGGTGCCTTCTATGCCGAACGACAAGGCTTTCATCTTCCAGGGGCATCCACGTCTGACTGGGCTCCAGTAACACCTTTTGAAGGCACCAAGACGGCTGGTGTATCTTTCTACAAGACAGAGTTCCCCTTGGATATGCCGATCGGCTACGATATCCCTCTGAGCTTTGTTATCTCGAACGTGACGGCTTCAACTGGAGAGTCAAGCCTCTTCCGCGCGCAGCTTTTCGTCAATGGGTATCAATTTGGCAAGTACGGTCAGTAATAACCTTCAAACTGTCCAATTTTGATATCAATACCATACATCTAACACCTATGCAGTCAACTATGTTGGCCCGCAAACACGCTTCCCTGTTCCAGAGGGCATCCTCAACTACAACGGAAACAACACCGTAGCACTCACTCTGTGGGCTTTGGATGGATCGGGTGCACGTCTCAAGGGATTCGAATTGGCAGTGGACCACATCGTCCAGTCAGGCTACCGAAAACCTGGGCAGACACCTCAACCGTCGTGGGTGAAGAGGATTGGGGCGTACTGAAGAGATCTCCTCTGGAGAGTTCCAACTCTTCATATTCGATTCAATGTATTTTATTTTTTCATTCTTTACCTTGGCCGGTTTCCGCAGCTTCTGATCGATACGCTTCAACAAGATGTTGTTGGAGAGTCCAACTAGTTCTTCGGCTCCATCGGGAATCCTGAAACTACCTAGGCCCAGAATTCATGTCGTGAAATAAATCGTGGCTACCAACTGCTCTGGAAATGATCGACAGGCTGAAAGCGGTTACATATGGTGTTGAGGCGCAGCCGTTGTCGAATGCACACATTCAAGACACCAACCAGCTGCGGGGAACGGACATGGAACAGGGCGAGCAAGTCTGCCTTGCGCGCCCTTACAGGGCATGTCAATCAATTTACGCATGACCTCAAACCTCCTCTCTCGGGCGGTGTGCATACCATCGGCTTCCGGTACGCTAAACCGGATTCTCTTACCGCAGCTTCGGCCCTGTAGCATTGAGCGCTCGACTAGGTGAATCTGGGCTTAGCGGCGCGGAATATGCGCCGCTGTCAAGGTTCACAAGCGACTTGGCAGGCAGTTCCCGAGATGTTATGCGTGACCCTTGCATTTCAGCTCTTGACGAAAGATAAATGCCCGACCATCATCCATATCTCATCACCGGCGTCCGATGAAGCCAGGTAAACCATATCATCACACAAAGCTGCAATATGCCGCCCATATTTGAAGACCCTTGGCCAAAGGAGAGAGTCAAGAGCTCGCTTCAACTCGCCTCAGCAGTAAGTGACCTTGGGTTTTCAAGGGATGGTCTGATCTTGATGACTGCGTAGAACCATATTCGGCTCATTGAAATTTTCCTGAAACTCATCCCGCACTTCAAACATGATGATGCTGGTGGTATCCACGATGAAGCTCTAGCATATTCGGAGTGGCGCTATGTGAATTACATCCGCTACCTGCGCATCTTTGGCGTTGCGCCACATGACTATCCACCCCCTTGGTGAGTTTCCATTTTGGAATCAAAGTCTATATGCTAACTCTGGTTACTCGGTAGGGATGTTGCTATCGTCTGGTATTGCCATCTCTTGTCACCAGGCAAGTTTCACCGGTATCTTTGGGATGGCAAGTATCGCAACTACGGCCTGAACCATCATCACTTCCCAGTCAAGCGCCTACTAGACCTCTATAACTCTGGCACATGGTCCGACAAAAAGGCGCAGAGAAAGTGGGAGCTCTATAACAAGAGGAATGACAGTCCTAAGCTGCCTTTCCAACTGTGGCGGTACCCGCCATGGCAACCCGAGCGAAAGTCGAAGCTGCTTTCACCCTTCTCGAACAAGCAGCCGTGTATGTATATCAAAGCTGACCCGGCGATCATGATGCACGACTTTGGTCGTGATGAGGGTCAAATCGCCTGGTGTACAATCATGGGGAAGAAAGAATGGACATTGTCCGAGTGGAAGGATGTGAGGATCGGGAGGAGGCGAGACGTCTGTCTCAAGAACAACCTACACAGCCGGGACGGGGAAATGTGTCAGTTGGCACCCTGGCCTACTCTCGACGACCTGCGAGAGACCTTGAACAGCCAGATCGCGTTTTGGAAGACGGTCATTCAGGCAAGAGACAGCGATGCTTCCTTTGCCACGAGTCTCGGCCACTCAACTGGCGATTACGAACGATTCATCAAGTTGCTTGGAAGGCCTGCCGAAGGAACCTTCACCTCACGCCCGGTAGAATACGACATGGACACAATCTTTCGGTCCAAGTCAGGTACTCACCTGTTGAGAAGCCGCTGCATTGTACCACCGACCCTAGCCATCGACCTTCTATGGCATACACATCGGCTTTACCCAGGTTCCTACTGGGTGTGGAGCTTTAGTGTTGCCAGGAGGCTCATCGACTATGAACATGTCACTTCGGCCGCTGCAGCGGGCTTGTTTTTGAAAGATACAAGGATTGAGTGGACGAAGAAGTATGGCACAGACTGTCCCAAAGATCTCGTCATGGATGGGCCAGGAGGAGAGGGCTATGTTCCCGATGCAGCTGCCGTTCCACCTGGCCATCCTGCCAAGATAAAGGCAAAGTTTGTACTTGGTGGCACCAACCCTATCAGGAAGAGAAAGAGGCGGACGAAGGGTGAGTATTTTGTCTTTGATGGGGTTTATGTATCTTTTGATAGCGGAGATTGCGGTGGAGGAGATGGAGGCGGTGGCGGCGGGGACGGAGGATGCGGTGGTGACGGTGGAGGTGGCGGTGGCGATGGAGGAGGGTAGAGAGGATGAAATATGGTTGGCACATTTTGAGGTAGCGGCTATTCGAGATGTGATATTATCTTTATTAAGATTCATTTCTAAGGTATGCTCTAGCTGATGGTGGTTCAGGCGCTTTTAGTCTCAAGCCAGCGTATGTTTGCTGAAGAAGTCCATGATATACGAAGACGCATTGTAGGATGCCGGGCCATCTCCGTGCTCCTTATTATCCGCATTCACTCCAGTGTACGGCCAGCTGTGATCCACATCATGCTCGTACACGTGAGTAACAAGACCCTTCTTATCACCTGATCCCCAGCGATACATCTGTGCACGAGAGGTGATATTCTTCTCGCTTGCCTTCTCGTTGAGGCCATCACGAAGAGCCCATTCGGTCACCCAGTGGAAGACGTCAGGCAGGCAAGCGCCGCGGCGGCTAGGGTTGCCTTCGTAAGGAATAGTCCCATCTATTCCGCCATGGAACTCAATGAGGGGGATGTTGGACCGTCCTGGATTGCACGGGATATCGACAGTCTTGGGATTGCAGCCCTCTGCACCCTCGATGTAATAAGAGCCGGAGACGGGCGCAAAAGCAGCGAAACGCGTTGAAAGTTCGTTGTGGCAGGCAGCATAGTTGACAAAGCCGCCCCCGTTGGATTTACCAGTCATGAAAATGCGGTTCGTATCGATGCAGTACGTTTTCTCGAGGTCGTCCAAGACGTTGCTGGTGTACTCAATGTCGTTTCTCTTGGTGATATTGGGAGTGCCTTCCCATCGTTCCTACATGAAGAATCTCGTGTCAGCCTCATGGGTGAGCTTCTCTGACAAATGTTGCTTACCTCGTATCCGCGTAGATAAACAACGATGTGATCAGTATTGAAGTATGGCGTTTCCAGACGGTCAAGATCTCGCTGAGACTCTGGTGTTCTAGTTCCACCATGGTAGGAGAATATGATCGGGTTGTTGGATGTTGTAGAATACTTCGGTGGCAAGAACAGGAGATAGTCTCGAGATCGGCCTTCTTTATCAGTGTAAGGAATCGTGTATTCGTTCCCAGGTGCACGCCCCTTTGGTAGGGCCTTGGTGCATTGGGCAGATGCGATGACACTCCTTGCTGGTGTCGTCGCAGCTGCCACGACAGATGCCGACGCGCTGAGCGCCAGCATCAGAAAGCGTGAAGAAACCATGGTGAAGTCTGTCCTACGATATGGAGTGATATTAAAAAGGGCAGAAGAAGAAGCTTTCTTTCGTCGACAGAGGATATCCGGGTTAGAATAATCCACGTTCTGTTGTAAGAACCTTTATGGAATATATACGCAATCGCGGATCATAACCGCCGTAGTAGGATCAGCACTACCCGGGCCTAGTTTTCACTAAAGCCTTCTAGGTCTCACCATGTGCCGGCAGAAATTACGAGAACACGGGGTGATCGTCGCCAGGCGTAAGCACGTTTCCCCAAGGATCACTAGGCACCGACGTAACTCCCCTAGAACACCCTCTCAAATTGGAGAAGGATTCCTTTTCAGGGCACCTCGTCACGCATCTGTAGGGCCTACTCACCCGGAGAAGACCTCAACCCCCCGGGATTAGACCGCGAAGGATGAAGAATAAACCTTATTGTTCCCCGCTCGCGCGCGCTTCGGATCTCAAATGAAGGGACGAACTCGGGAATACGGCATACTTCCACGAAGCAACAGCTCCCCGTTTGATGGACGCTGCGCTTAACCACGCTCCTACCGCCTCTATGTAGTCCCGCGTTGTCGGCTTGCTACGCAGGCCGGGCGATGCTGGAGCAACTGCTACGTTCACCTCAACAATATTCCTGATATATTGAACGTGACTTAAATTACAATCGTTAGAGGAAGTTCTTCGTTTTTAGCCGTTTACAAAAGACACTTTGTTCGTTGCTCACTATGTCTAGTTCTCAGCGACCTGAGGTGGCGCGCGCGTGTCAGCTGTGTGTCTTCACAGTGTTCAGGTCGCTCCGCCAGCACAAGTCCAGGAACACAAAGAGGACGAAGCAAGTGTCAGGTACGCAATCGACGCTCTGTTCAATTCCAGTAATGTAGCAAAAGATATTCGCATCTTTGTGATTTTCACCGTCGAATTAAACTATCCCAGCATATTCGGAAACATGTCGGGAATATAAGCTTGATTCGGACGAATAAAAAATGCCGGGTCACTTTTACCTGATTCAGCGTCTGTCACTGGGAAAAACTCCGCTCCGCAACGCTAATTTGAGCCCAGAAATGCGCGAAGTTGAGCAATTGACAAAGGTCCATGGTCAATCTCACTACAGTGTGATGGACATATAAATATTCGGTGATGTTTAAGCTTTTGAAATCAATTAATTCAAACTCTACTTGGGCAGCCAACCCAGCAACATATCTTTCTCAAATCGACGGCAGAGACCGACGCAACTGATCATGGGTGACACCATGAAAGCTTGGCAATATTCTGCCATCGACGGCAAGCTCGAGGATTCGCTTGTTCTCAACAAATCAGCGCCTATGCCAAGCTCTTCAACCTTGCTCAAAGATGAGCTCCTTGTCGAAGTCATCAGCGCATCGCTCAACCCAGCAGACTATAAAGTCCCCGAATCAACTCTTATTGGGCGTCTCATGGTCGCACGCCCCGCCACGCCTGCCATGGACTTCTGCGGCCGTGTTGTGGCCATACATTCCTCAAATTCCAGCTTCCAAATCGGACAGCTTGTGTTTGGTGGATACGCAGGCGTCGGCCAGAAAGGTACGTTGGCAGAGTACATCGTCATCTCAGGAACACACTGCGCACCCCTCCCGGATGGCATAGACCCTGATCAAGGCGCGGCGGTTGGCACGGCAGCGACAACAGCCTGGCAGTCTCTGATACCGGATACACTGCAACCTGGCGGCAAGGTGTTGATCAACGGAGGGAGCGGCGGCACAGGCACGTGGGCTATTCAAATGGCAAAGGCCTTGGGCGTTGAGGTTGTCACGACGTGCTCCGCCACGAACGTCAAGATGTGCCGACAGCTTGGCGCGGATGAAGTCATTGACTACAAAAAAGAAAACGTCTTAACGAAGTTGAGGGACAGGGGGGAGGTCTTTGATCTCATCATCGACAACGTGGGCAACAACCCAGACCTGTATGACAACAGCAGCAACATGCTGAAGCCTGGTGGAACTTTTGTGATGGTGGGCGTCGGAGAAAGTCTCACACTTTCAGGATCGTTCTCGATGTTGAGCAAAATGATTTGCCCAAGGATTTTGGGCGGACAGCAATTTTACTTCGTGCGTATGCAGAACAGCGCGGACTTCTTCCGACGAATTGGCGAGTTGATGGACCAGGGAGAGGCCAAGGCGGTGATTGATTCAACGTTTGGGTTCGACCAAGTGCCCGACGCTTATAGGAGACTACGGGATGGACATGCCAAGGGCAAGATTGTTGTTCAAGTTGCGAACTGCAAGGGTAGCGGCAGTTCGGATTGATTGATAAATACGTCTCCAAGTAATGTCTAGCCCCTAAGAGATACTTCAGTCGCGGGGTAACATCTCTGCTTCGTAGATTTCAAGATGTGAGTGACTTGAGCATCAATTTCTCGGCATAATTTCTCGGCATTATTGGCTTACTTTGCATTCCAGAATAGCTCTACTTAGCTCAAATTTACCCCTTGGATCTTGAAATACAACTCGGTCGTGTTTACTCAAGTTCTTCTTGCCTGTGACTTCTGACGCTGCTCGTCTCCTTTCTTCTTTGTCAGGACTCACCCTCAATAACCCTTATTCGGGGCCATGCTCATCCACTAGTACCTCGGGTGCCTGCATCGGATTTGAAAACTCTCCTTTCACGAATGGAGATGCCTGGTACTTCAATTACCGGCATCACGCATGTGAATGCAAGGCATAGATGCCTTCTAGAAGTATTCGAAATAAGCCGAATATGGGGTTCCCGTCACACCTATCCAGCCACTACGACCCACTGTAAAATCCGAGGGCATCCGCGCATAGTCCCATCTAAGCCCGGCGTGTGTCGGTCGGTGTTCGGGTCCGGGGTGCGGCGAGTGACTCAGGCCGTCCGCGGAATGTCAGCATCCAATCACAAGGCGTTCTGTCCGAGGTCTTTCCAAAGTCCCAAAACCGATAGCCATGAGCTAGAATTGAAGGCTAGTTGTCCGAGGCTTACGTTGCGACCTTGGCGAGTTGCTGAGCCTCGATTCTGGAGATCATCATTTTCTCAGAGGCGATGAGGCCTTGGGTGTTCAGAATTTCACTATCATAAAAGACTTATAAAAACCATCTTCTGTCGCCAATACCCATAACAGAAACCATGTTCGATACACTCAGCAATCACATCACGTCTCAACTCAAATCGCGATTCGCTTGGTCACCACGAGCTTTACAAGCTCAAATTCCCATCGCGATGTCTCTCTCACTCGCTCAGAATTGTGTCCCGAGCACCTTCAGCCCAGTCCTCTACGGAGCTGAGATCCTGTCTCTTGAGGCGAACCTCGTCACCAACTACAGCGCCTCCGTTCCTTCGGCATTCCGATACACTTCTCCATCCGTCGAACTGAAGAACGCGACTTTTTGTAATGTGACCATCACATACACGCACCCGGGCCAGAATGACAACCTCGTCACCGAGGCATGGCTTCCGCAGAACTGGAACGAGAGGTTCATGGCTGTGGGCGGAGGAGGCTGGGTCGCCGGCCGCTTCTTCTTGAGCTACAATGCGATGAACGGAGCCATTGCGGACGGCTTTGCGACCATCACAACGGATGCAGGCCTCGGATCTGCGAATGAGCCTAGTCCGTGGGCGTTGAACAGCCCTGGCAACGTCAATTTGTACAACCTGCAGAATTTGGCATCCGTTTCCCTCAAGGACGAGGTAATTATCAGTCGCAATTCCAACTTGAGACTCTATAGAGCTTATGAGTGCTCTGAAACCATTCACTAATTGCAAAACTCCCAGGCTATTATCGGCAAGTCTTTGATTAAGAGCTACTACAGCCAGGACCCCCAATACTCCTACTGGGCCGGCTGTTCCCAGGGTGGACGACAAGGGCTCATGCTTGCCCAACGCTACCCCGACATCTACGACGGCATCGTAGCGGGCGCCCCGGCAATCAACTGGAACAAGCTGGTGAGCTTCGTCTACTGGCCCCACCAAGTGATGAATGAGCTTGGCGCGTTCCCTTACCCTTGCGAGTTCGACGCCATCGTAAACACAGCAACCTCCGAGTGCGATCCTCTAGATGGAGTCACAGACGGAGTCATCTCCGACATCGAAGCCTGCTTCAAGTCTTTTGATCCCTTCTCCCTCGTCGGCCAATCGATCACATGCGCCCAGAAGAACGGAACCCAGCAAATCATCTCAGAGGCTGCTGCGACGGTAGTGAATGCTACGTGGCACGGCCATGTCACCGCGGATGGCCAGCGGCCGTACCACGGTATCTTTCCCGGAGCCGACTTTACGGGCAACAAGCCGACGTCCTTCAGCCAGCCGGGCATTGTGATGACGAGCTGCAATGAGAGGGGCTGTACAGATGAACCGTCTAACCTCGGTACAGCCTGGTTCAAGCTCTTCATCGCCAAAAATGAGACCTTTGACTTGACAAACATGAGCCGCGAGGAGTATGATGCGCTGGTGTACTCTGGTCGCCAGCAATATGAGTCGATTGTCGAGACCGCCGACCCTGATCTGAGACAGTTCAAGGCAGCCGGGGGCAAGATGGTGACTTTCCACGGTTTGGTACGCATGCATCACCCGAACTCTGTACCAAGCAATTAGCAAGCTAACCTTCTGTCTGCAGGCTGACAACATCATCCCGCCCGGTGGCACCGAAGACTACTACAAGGCAGTGAACGAGGTCATCCCTGATATCCAGGACTTCTACCGCTACTTCGAGGCTCCCGGCCTGGGCCACTGCTTCGGCGGTGTGAGTGGCACCCCGACTGGCCTCTTTGAGCAGCTGCGCAACTGGGTTGAGAACGGCACCGCACCCGACCAGTCTCCCATCCAGATTTCTGTCGGCAATGCGACGCACAACCGTATCCTGTGCCCGTACCCCAAGAAGTCGGTCTTCAACGATGGCTGTGGGGATGCTTCTAAGGCGGAGTGCTGGTCTTGTTCCGAAAGCCCCGTGAAGACCAACACCACCAAGAGGGCTGCGCCAAAGTTTCACGGGCTCTGATCGTGCCGTTCCAAGGGTGACATGAGTTCTGAAGAACTTTCCTTGTTCCTCAATCATCGCGGTCTTTTGCCTCTGGAAACGTATCGCGCTATTGAACATACTTTTCGCTTCTTTTATGTACATTAAATATAATACATGCATAGTCTACAATTTTAAATCTCTCGGCCGTTCATTCACTCAGCTTCGCTTACGTTAAATTTCATGCCATTTCCATCATTTCGTCTTCCTTCAACATTGCGTTCGGCCATTCAAGCCATTCTTTCCAATACGTCCCAAGATGATCTGAAGTTGCCCGAATAAGGAACTCTCCAGAGCCGCCCACAGCCCAATAGTCTTTTGCCCAATGTAATAGTACGGCATAGTAAGACAATAGGACCAGAGCTTCTGGACGTCGTTGTTGGAGGAGTCTGATGTACTCCTGCGACACCCGAACGGGCCATTCCTGAATGACGACGAGCCTGCGACTTTCCTCCGAGCGTACAGAATCAAAAAGATACTGCAGAATCTTGACAACATCTATATAAACACCCCTGGTTTGTTCATTCATCTCATTCTCGTTCAGCCGTTGGAGCAGGCTGTCACACTCATTACCGTGAAGGACTTGTGTGCCGTTTTCCATAGAATATGCCGGGTTGTGTGAAAGAATCTTCTCCATGAAACCATGAAATTTGCCCATGGCTCCCGCGACAATACTACGGATTCCATGGTGAAGTGTCAGGCACTGAACAAGCCTGTCAAGCACGGTGGGTATTGAGGTTGCTGCGGCGAAGGCTTCGAATAAGGTCTGCTGACCAAGTAGGAGGCTGAAACAGAAGAGCGCCATGACGTTGTCTTCGGTGACTTGCAACCCGCCGATATCTAGATGACCAATGGCTCTCGTCTGGAGGCCGGTTGCTTGAGTGAGATACAACGCCTTTGTTTCTTCATCGCTGGCGACTGTGCTCCTGTAGGCGGCGGTGAAGGCTAGGACTTGGTCCATCAAATATGGCGCCTTCAACGCTTCAGCGTACGTCAGGCGCATCAGTGGGCCCATTTCTGATTGCAGGGCGACGAGGACGTCCGTGAGAGTCCCTCTAAAGAAGAGGAGTAGATCGAAGTGGAACAAGCTGAAGCGTTCCGAAAAGAAGTCATCTGACAACTCTGATAGGTTCAATGACGTAGACTCGCCGTTCGAATCTGCTACTACTGATGGCGGTTGCAATTGACGCCTGGAGGAAACCGAGGAATGGGGGCTCGGAGCTTGAGGCGTGGATAGGTGGGCCGGTGTATTGGCTGGTGGCGTTGGCAAAGTGCTGACCAGCTCTCGGTAAGAGCAATGTCTTCCCGCAGTTTTGCATCTAATGCAAATTGGTCTCGACTCATCGCATTTGACCTTTCGTTCTTTGCACTCTTTGCATCCGAGGCGGGACTTTCTGTGCTTTGGCATTGTGGATATAAGATGGGTTCGGATTTGAACAAAGCGAATGATCGGGTTGCGATGCCCTGCGACTATGGGATCCGGGAGCGAAGAAATGTTCCAACGGAGGTAAAAGAAAGAAAACAAAGTTTAGAAGTCTGTGTTTCCGAGCATGAGATCGGAAAGCAGAGAGTATGTGTGGGCAAGATGGGCACTGGAGGCATAAGAGGCGAGGTTAAGAGAGCTTGAGATCGGGTGTGGCATCGTATTGGCGTATTAGTTCATGAGGTTCGAGACTCAGACCAATCGCATTCATCTGTGTCCGACATGTTATCCACATTGAACAGGCCGCTAGTCAGCTTTATGCTTCACATCCATCCAAGCTTGACCGCAGACGGCGCAACTCGTATCGGGTTTTTGTGAAAGTGGGAACCGTGATCTCCCGAGACCGAGTATTTATGAGATGCAAGCCTCAGGGGTAATTCTGAGCTGTATCGCGAGCATGCCAAGTTTGATTCTCTGCTCTTTGTGAGAAGTAAGTCATTTGATGGGATTGAGTGAGGAGTGAGTGGCCCATGAGAGTGAGATGAGAATAAGATGCACAGCCAGATGGGTCTAGGACCATTCAAGACTAGCGCCTCAATGAGACCCCGCCGACCGGTGTTCAGCCGAATGGCCCCGCCTCTCCGCGCCGCGTCCCGCAGCCTTGCAGCTCGCAGGAAAATTTCTTGACAAGAGCTTCTGCAGTAGGCGGGCGAAAAAACTCCACCTGCATTGTACGGACGATGAGAACGTCCGCCACCTCAATTCGAACATGGCGACCGATGATGCTCCTCAACAGGCCGGCGGTGCTCCCGCGAGGCAGCCTGCCGACCTTCCGACCAGCGACAAGCCGTCAATTTCATCAGAGTCCCGCGCAGATGGCTCAGCCCAGCCCGGTACTGCAGTGGAAAAATCACAGGAGGGCCGACGCGGCGACAGGCGCGACGACAACAGGCGAGGTGGCAAGTCGCGCGGACCGAAGCGGAAACACGACGTCGGCCGGTCGGCGTGGAGGTAAGCTCCGTCCTTGTCAATTGACTTGTTGTTTATGTTTGCAACTCGCGCCAACGATGTCTAACCAGGGAATAGCCGTGAGGCCACCGACAAGCGCGGACGCAATGCCGAGTACCAAGAGTTCAAGCGCAGAAAGGTAGACAAGGACGGCAACCCCGAGACCACCGAAAACCCTTTCACTGCCGAAGAAATCGCCGCCGAGGGACGCAAGCCGAAGCGAAAGGTCGCCGTCATGGTCGGATACTCGGGCACGGGCTACAAGGGAATGCAGATCAACAATGAAGAGAAGACAATCGAGGGAGACCTGTTCAAGGCCTTTGTTGCCGCAGGTGCTATCTCAAAAGCCAATGCCGACGACCACAAGAAGTCGAGTCTCGTCCGATGCGCGAGAACCGACAAGGGCGTCCACGCTGCTGGCAACGTCATCAGCTTGAAGCTCATTATCGAAGACGAGGATATCGTCGAGAAGATTAACGCTGCCCTACCCGATCAGATCCGTGTTTGGGGTATCCAGCGTACCAACAACTCTTTCAGTTGCTACCAGACGTGCGACTCGAGATGGTACGAGTACCTCATGCCGACATACTGTCTACTGCCCCCTCATCCCGATAGCTGGCTGTGGAAACAGCTGGTTGAGGCTGCGAAGGAGAAGGGTTACTACGAGGAGTTCCAGAAGAAGCTTGCCGATGTTGAAGGATACTGGAGAAAGGTTGACGAGGAGGACATCAAGCCGATCCTCGACAAGCTCGATCCCGAGACCAAGGCCAAGGTGATGGAGAGAATCCACGCCGACGAGGATGCGACCGCACAGGCAGACGAGTCCAAGTCTACCACCGAGACGAAGACCGAAGAGACCCCGGCCGAAGCCGCTCCTACCGAGGAGAACAAGACTCCCGCAGAGGTCCCTGAGGGAAGTGTCAAGCCCAGGAACCGCGACCTCACCCCCCTGGACTTTGCCCTTCGCGATATCAAGGCCGCCTACATTGCAGCCAAGAGACGTTACCGCGTTACACCCGAGCGCCTCGCTCAACTCCAGGAGGCCCTGAACATGTACTGCGGCACAATCAACTTCCACAACTACACCGTCCAGAAGAGCTTCAAGGATCCGTCAGCCAAGCGCCACATCAAGTCCTTCAAGGTTAATATGCAGCCGATCCAGATCCGCGATACCGAATGGGTCTCCACCAAGGTCCACGGCCAGAGCTTTATGATGCACCAGATTCGCAAGATGGTCGGTATGGCTTCCCTCGTCGTCCGTTGCGCCACCCCACTGGAGCGCATCAAGGAGAGTTACGGCCCCACGAGGATCGCCATTCCTAAGGCTCCTGGCCTGGGTCTTCTTTTGGAGCGACCCGTGTTCGATGCCTACAACAAGCGGGCGGCGGATAACTTTGGCAAGGAGACAATTGATTTCACAAAGTACGACGAGAAGTTGCAGGCTTTCAAGGATAAGCAGATCTACCAGCGCATCTTTGAGGTTGAAGAGCAGGAGAACACGTATGTGATACCCTATCCTTTCTATGCAACACATTTACTAACTATGCATCCAGCTTCCACATCTTCTTCCAGCAGGTAGACAACTTCAAGTCCGACTACTTCTTGTGGCTCACTGCCGGCGGCATCGAGGCTGGAGGGGTCCGAACCGGAAAGGAGGAGAAGGGAAGTAAGACCCTCGAGTCGGCACTTGGTGATGAAGATGAGAACCCTGTCAACGGTGACGGTTAAGTCAGCCATGCCAGGCGACAGAGTCGCTGGTCGTTGAAGGTGGAGGTTAAAGCGCAGTGGCGACTGCTCATAAAATGATACGATAGAATCAAAAAAGCTTAAAATTCCCTTCCCATTCTCTGTATACGGGTATCAGCGTTGCGTGCTCAGAGATACGTTGTCCTTATCTCAAGAACCCCAAGCCCAAACGCCAAAGCAAACAAATCGTAATTTTCGCCCTTCTGCACCCAACTTCTCAATTCAACCCACGATCCTGTGCCTACGCAGCACCACCAGCCCCATTCGGCGCCGTCGGAGCAGCTGGTGGCGGAGCAGCCACAGCAGCACCAGCCTCCCCAGAGGCACCGTCCCCACGACCCATCGGCACCCACTTGCCCTCCGCCGCGGCTGCAAGGCCAGCGAACCGCGTCTCCTGGATGGCGTTGAGGAGCTCCGCGCACCGGACCACGTCGGCCTGGAGCTTGTCCGCCTGGATGCGCGCATCGCCTTCTCCCTGGCCCAGCTTGCCGAACAGCCAGAGCTCTTTGAGGCGGCGGCTGAGGGCGAGGAGGTCTTTGATTGATGTGTGCTGTGATCTTATGGTTAGTTGCGCGTTGTTACTTAACAAGTGAGGCATCGACGGGCCCAATTGAGAAGCGGGCGGTATCTGGCTATCCGACAATTCGCAGTATGGGTGAGAGTGTGTTATTCGGCTTACCAGTCCTTCAAACTCCATTTGCATCGACATGCCCGTCACAGCGACCGTCTGCGGCTCAACGTTCTTACGCTCTCCTTCGGCTTGGATCGTCGCGAGCATTGTGAGCATGCGGAAGCGGGAGAGTACGTCAGCGATGAGCCGATTGTGCGTGTCGAGCAAATTTGAAGAGTCTCGTGAGGTGTCCATGGTGGCGGGATTGTGAGGTGTCGATATGTGTAAGAGGGACTTTGTGAGGATGGCGGCGTTAGAGGTGAGGTGAGAGGTCAGAGCTCCTGCTGAATCTTGAACTTCTTAGTGGGGGCGGTGGGGTTTCCTCGGTGTACTGTGACCCCTGGGGCAGCCTTACCGAGGCTCTACACCGAAATCATCGGTGAGCTGCAAAAGAGCACTCTCATTGCGTGACAAGGAGCAAACAAACAGCATGTACGCTGGCACAAAGAAATCCACAAAACATACCATCTACTTGCTAAAGATTCTAACGACTGGTGATCAGATTAATCTAATCCCAGGTCTCAGGAGTCGTTTTAAGCAGCGAGCTTTGGCTTCTGACAGCACTCTTTGTCGAACATGAATGAATTAGCAAAGGAAGTTGATCCGAGTCAAGCTCACAACCTCTCCCACTATTTCAAAGACAATTTTGTGTTTGATTTACGAGAAACTCTTATAAAATACTCGAATTCTCAGGCAAGATTCCCTTTTCATCAACTCCTTCATTTCCTGCCTACATCCAACAGAATAGCAATACTGCTCAAGTACGCAACGCGCAACCTCAACGCTCCAACATCACAACATGACTACCTATCAAATCAACCCAAATGGCCTTTTACCTGATGCCTATATTCTCGGGGGCATTCCTGAGCTCGGCGAGGACACTGACGATACCAAGCTCCAGGTCCAGGTCCTTCAGAATAATAAGACCTTTTGCGCTTTTCTGTTGAACTTCAAAGGAGATCAACCTTCATCTGGAATTCCCCATCAGTTACTTGTACGAATCCAAAAGTACGAAAAGAATGAACCTCCCATGGTCACAGCTGCGCTCACGAAGCTTGCCCGAACTGTCCTTCCTTCGCTGGTTCCGAAGGTGTGGGGTTGCGGATACAGCAGGATGAAAGACGGTACGAATGTCTCTTATGTCCTCTCTCAATGGTATGCGGATGCCTGTCCGCTGGAAACAGTGTGGGATAGAATGGACGACGAGAATCGAGGAGAGATCATCGGAGACCTATTCGCGGCAGTGTCAAAGTTGCGTAGCCTCTCATTGCAGAAGCTGACCCTGGAGCAATGGCAATGTTTCCGTAACACCCCATTTGAGACAAAGAAAACCGAGCTCCCCATTCTCGTCGGTGGTCCGCCTTACGGATATCACACCGACTTTGCTTCCCTCTTGCGCCGTAACCTCTGCCCTAGGAACGCCGATTGCGCGGTAAACGGAAAGACCGATGGGGCTTTGATCGTGAGCGTGCATGCTCCCGAAGCGGAGCACTTTGGATTCGCTGAAACAGACCTGGATCTGCTGACTCAAAGCTCAGTCTTGTGCCACAATGACTTGGAGCCCCATAATCTACTTGTTGAGAAAGTTTCTACCGAGCGCGGTGAGGAGTATAAGCTTGTAGCCATACTCAACTGGGATCAAGCAGGCTTCGTTCCCTTCGCCTTCGAGGTCGCCCGGAAAGACTTGCATCTGGGCTTGCGGAACTTCAACTGGAGTTGGTACGATATGTATCGGCAACTTGCTGGTCACCAACTTTTCGACACTCCAGGTCGTCCCATTTGGTCAAAGCTCATCCGGTGTCTAATGGCCATTCATTCATCCTGTCAATTTAAGGCCGCTGAGGAATTTACTTCGGACGGCACAGCACAGATGCTGTGGCTGGAAAAGGAAGGTCTTCCGTTTTCTACTCTCGTTGAAGAAGGATGGGTGAAGATGCATTCTTTTGTCACATTCACATCCGAGGATAATTCTGGAAGTTGGGATGCTTGAGAGTGCCCTAGTTCACAGTAGCAAGGCTGCCCGCGTGACCGCACGCGGTTTTAGATGGAAATACTTAAGTCAAACTCAGAAGATTCAGAATTATACCTGCAGTGAGCATGTTATATGAAACTGCCGGATGTGTCAATTGTTTCGTTGTAATGGCTGAACCTTTATGGTCACGGGAGAGAACAGCCGCCTGATGTTGTCTTCGATGTACTTTGGTAATATCGAAAGATCGGTACGTCGCGATTGTGGATTTGGAACATCCAATGACTAAATGAGCATCGCTGTATCGGACACAATAATTCGTCTCTCTTGGATGCTCTTCTTTTTGGACCTATCTTTCGTTTCACCATGCTCGGCAATAGATCATTTTGACGACAGCGCAGGAACTCTATATGTTCTCCTGGAACATTCTTCGCTGAGCCCACTTCCAACTAAATGTAGCTGCCAGATGGAGGAGGAGGAGTAGAATACTGAACTTGCGGATGGCATAGGCCTTTGCAACACAGCCTGATATAGTCCTTGAAGCTTGGGGAAGTGAATATTACTTTATAGCGTGAATCTTCGGTAATTGCCGAGGACAATCTCAGACTCAAACGGCATTCGACGTATAGACGTGATAGAAGGTCCTGGTCTAAAATACCTAAAGTACCTAAAGTAAGTCTCTTCATCCTACCGCGAGGATCTAAGTGGAAAGGGCTTTAGTAGTAAGTGGCTTGATTCCTTTAAGTGAGAGATCTATAAGGGGTCGTATCTAAGTAGTGTACGAGACGGGTAGTCGTCTCATAGTAGGCGGTATTCTACGGTAGTAACGGGCAGCGCTATATGTGGCGCTGCGACGCAATCACCTAGGGGGAGTTCCAATATGTTTTTGAAAGTCAGAAATAAGATTATGCTGATTCGGATTGTCACCGTACGTAGTTTCAGCTTAGGTTTAAAACATTTTATCTATCAATCAATCTGGTCATAATCTAGAATATTATAAATCTACGGGGAGTTGTTACCGTGCATAACACTCTGCGATGGTACAAATGATGATAGATTACTAGTCCCTCTTAGCCAATGAATAACTCCTCGTCCCCCATGGGTAGACGGTCAAAGCAACTTATGACGGTCAAGAACCTTGACAAATCCATCTGCTTCTATATTAAGGACCATTGTCAGCGTTTGCATTCAGAAACTTCTGGAAGTAAGAGACTTAGATTGAAATGTTGGACTTACCCTTGGGGGATGTGAAGTGAATCTTCAGGTCTTTTGCGACGCCCTTCTTCAGTTCTTTGTTCAGCTGTGCCGGGTCAATTGGTATGAATGGATATTTATCTGGTGTCCACTCAGGATCTGCCTCTTCTTCGTATATTGCTGCTCGAAGTCGTGACTTGAGCATGGTCTCTAATTCACGTTTGGGCAGTATCGCAATTTGGGAGGACCCATTATCATGCCCTAGCTTCCATGTGGTCTCTCCAATATCAATAATCACACAGACCTTGTTTTCGTTGGTCTTACGATGCGTCCAAAGAACTAGTTTGTAATCTGTTTGTTTGTTCTCACTCTCTGGTATATATGAGACAGGAGTAGCCGGAGGAGACCGCTTGAACTTTGTATCATAGTCTCTTTCGGTGAGCCGTTTCCAGATATGTAGTTTGCCAGAGGTAAAAGTGTGCTTGTTCGCGTTGATACTGCAGTTGCTGAACGCAAAATCCGTTTGATCACTGCTTGCAGCTATGGAGATGATTTCCTGCCGTGTTAATAAGGCAAAAAATTGCCGATATTCCTCCATATTAGCGAAGAGGAGTGTGTAGTCAGAAAGAATCGATTTGAACCATATCATTTTCGAATTCGTTTGACTGTCGTCCTCCGTTGCAAAATATGCTGCCGGTGAAAATGAGATATCGCTACAAAGGCCCCTGTTCAAGTGGATCTCTACTTCCACGTCAAGATCGATAGAAATACTTTCTTTCCTCGCTCCTGCAGATGGATTGTAGTACGTCTGAAGTCGGTGAGGATCTCGATATATGGCTAAATGTGCAGGAAATTCTTTGTTGGATGACCGGTTTCTGTAAGATACCGACCAGTTTTCGCAACCACACTCCATGGTATCTTGGTCTGTGGGTCGATTATTATGCTTTGCTTTTCTGAGAGCGGAATGGCAATAATCCATGGTTCCACGCTCCTGGGGCTGAATATTGAGCATTTGTCGAAGCGTTGAGGCAACCAGTCTCGTTCCCTCTTCTTTCTGGGTTTCAAGCAAGGCTAAGGCATCGCCAACGGCAGTCCGTAAGGCAACCGTTCCGTTTTGCCTGTCCCAATACGCGGCATCCGAGAATCCGGCTTGGCGGTTGGAATGGAAGAGTTCAAGCTCGGACTTTTGGCATCGCCCTTGTATGAAAATGAGAATTTGGAGAAGGATGCAAGCCATGGACCAAACATCATAAGTCATCCCCGTCTCATTTTTGCTTCCTAATCCCTCAGAGTCTTCTTCCCCGGGGGGAGCGTATTCAACAGTTGCTCTCCGTGGTTCAGTCTCCACGACATGCCCAAAATCTGCAAGGTGGAGGGTAACTCGCCCCCGCTTATCTTTTCCAACCAGAATATTGGCAGGTTTGAGGTCGAGTGGGTTTGAAAACGACTGAAGAGCATGCAACGTCATAACTGCCTCGACCACATTCATCATCTCTTTCCATAAAATATGGTCGATCGGCTCTGACCTATCTCCAGTGTGCGGCACTAGATCCTGAGGCAGATAAGGTCCCAGAAGAAGGTTTTCGAGGTTGCCGTCGTATTTCTCAAATACAAGCTCGATGATTTCGAAAGAAGATCCAGTGTTGAAGAAAGCAAACAGCAGCTTCGCAACACTATGGTGCTCTTGTGACATTTTATGAGCAACCAGGATCTCATGTTTTGCTTCCGCTATTCTCTCCTTTTCGGAGCTAATCTGGTACTGATAGGCATAAACTTTTCGGAAAACCTCTTTTCCCTGCGAGACCTGAATTAGAAAGTGTCTTTGGTAGATTTTGGGCGCTGGCTATGCTATGGCTGATATACCTGGGGTTCAATCTGTCCGAAAGTACTGTAGTCAGGATGTATTTCGTTAATGTAGAACTCGATATTTGCTCTCTTTATGTCCGGCCTCTTGAGGTTGATGAATGGAACGTTGAAGTTGCTCATGTCCAACAAGTCTGCTTGATCTTGTGGATTGAACTCCCCGGGTATTTTAACCACGTTCAAGATTGCTGTTTTGAGGTGGAAAGCATCCATGAAAGCTTTCCATCGGCACTTGTTGCACACAGTCTGCAGATGGCTCACTTTTGGGGCCATCCATTTTACCGGTTCGTCTGTGTGTGGGACAGAGCAGCCCTCAGGCTGCGTAGCTAACCGACCAAAAAGATCCAGGTCTTCTTTTCTTTGGGACTTTTGGCGACTGATGATGAAGTCGGCGAGGCTCTTAGACTGATTGAATGCTGAGTTCCTCACAAGGAACAAACAGCCACACAATATGAGTTTTGCGTAGTCTTCGATTCTGTCGTCCCTAAATACCACGTCTTTGCTGCTACTGCTCTGGTCTTGGGTAGGGACACACAAACTACATTTGCATGAAAGGGAGATTTTGAGCAGTGCCGACTTAAGTGTTTTCAGAGTGGGCAACAACTCCTGTTTTTCTTTCGATCCATTTTCCTCGCAAAAGCCAGCTAGAGCCCCTCCCAGTCGCTTGTTCTCGGCTTGAAGGTGTCTGAGCAGTTTGTCGTTATTGCAGTCTGCATCATTTGCACACTCCCGAAGAAGCTCGGCGGCTCTGTGCTTGTGCGAAATGTTCATCGAAACTTGATCCCCAATGAGCTGCTCAGCATTGAGCTAGGATCACGGCCTTGCGAGCAACGCCTTAATCGAGGAGAAGAATAGTCTTTCGGTTTAATTTGGTTGGTCCTCACCGATATGGCGACCAGAAATATGAAACAGATCTTGAGAATAGAGAAAATGGAGACCGCCAGGTGGTATTGTTAGGGGCCATGCATTGCCCAATGCTTCCGGTCATGATTATCAGAGCGATTTCAGCCAACAACTCCCGTAGGCTGCCCTCTTCAGGTTCCATTAAATGTCTCGTTTATTGTATAAAAGGCGTAGAAATCCGGTGTGGTAACACAGAAAGCTGACCACCTTGCTCATCATGGTTGGCCGGTTATCGTGTCGGTCTCTTATTGGTAGCCTGCTTATCTCTTTGAGCACCCCGAGGGGACCCTTGCAAGGCGTCCAGTTGCCTGAGTCCTGATTGCAGTTTTGATACGCAGCTGAATGAGCTATTCATGCGAGGCAAAATTTCTTCCTCAAACAGGAAGATGAGAATAGCTCGAAATACGGCCTTGCAGTGTTGGAGCCTGTAGGTTACATGCAGTCTGCAGAAAACAATACATGGTGTCGGAATACATTAAGAGGCAGCCTGGTCAATGAATTCTTTTCACTCTCAACACAGGCACACATTCGAAAGACACGAACCAACTTTCCAGACAAAGGCATCAGGAATAAAGGACATTATTGATCCATCGCTGGATGTAGTGGCAATTCACCAAGATGACCGCAAACACCAACGACAACACTGTTGCCAATGGCCAGGTGACTGGCGAAGGTATGTCTCTGTATATTTGGAGTTTTGACGCGATCTCTTACTCCATCTCGTCTTACAGGCCACCACCATCCCAGTCCAGCCACGAACCCTCAATTTGTTTCAACAGCCGCGCAAGATCCAAGGCGCGAGCCCTCTCGTGACTTGACGCAAATGGACGTTGCAGCACTCATTATCAACAAGATGATAGGAACTGGCATCTTCAGTAGCCCTTTCACTGTTCTGATTAATTCCCCCAACAAACAGACTGCTATCGCACTTTGGGTGTTTGGATATGCCTACACCATCTTCAGGTTCTCTTGACTTCTCCCCATCTTAAGCGCAAAGACTAAAGCTCTATTAGTATGTTCATGTACTTGGAATTTGCAAGAAAGTTACCTTTTACCGGGGG